AAGCACTACGGCATATAGAAAAGTGGTGACGTTTTTGAGCGCAGTATAATTTCAGTACTATGCACGAACGGGTTAAGAAAATGGTAAGAAAAGAAAGGAAACCAGAGCTGATGCAAGCTTGATAAAAGACCATAATATTAAAGGTTGTGGTATGTGATTACATCAATGAGTGAACTGTGCATAGAAAGGAGAGAATACAGAAATTTATCCAGGAAACACAGCTTGAACTTAAGGAGAAAGTGACAAGTATTAACAGAGAACATCTTACACCGCCAAAATGCATTAAAAATCAAAAGTTGGATGAATGACAAAAATATACCAACTTAAGAAACAAAGAAGGTAATTGAAGCAGACTGACAGTGCAAATTAAATAGGATTTTTTTAAAAGTTTAAGCAATTTGTAGCGTTCACATGCAAACAATGCATAATATTACAAATACTACAGCCTTGATAGCCTATCGGTTTGCACTGTGGGCACTGGATGAGAAGTTCCCGGGTTCGATATCGGTAGGATCAATTCAACAAATTAACTTTTCTAAATGGTTCTGGTCTTGGTATTCTATTGTAAGACAACCACCTGGTCTGAAACTAGGGAACTCTCTGTACATACTCCCCATGAGTATCAGAGTAACAGAATCCCAGGGCAGAACCAATTTACAAAAGTTCATTTCCCATGTTGGTTCTACTGGGAATCGAACCTGGGACCACTCAGAACACCCAGGCTTAAACAACTTTCGAAAAGTTCACATTTTGTTTTATAGCTGATTGAGCTGATTTTTTGCGGTTTTTAAAAAAATTCTCGATTAACTCGAGAAATCGGGTACGAGAATTCTTGAAACTCAAGAAAAAAAAGTCAGACATCCTAGCTCGTAATAAATGGCATTGTATAAAATTCAACATTTACGTATAAAATTTATTTATAAATAATAAAGGCTACTCCATTACAACTCTGTCCAAATAGTTTTCACTAGAAGCTACATATGGTGCATTTTGGTAAGTTTCCAGTAGAAGCTGAATATAGTGTTTTTTTGCGCCTTTCAATTGTTGCAAGCAAAATTAGGCAGTACTGCAATGACATTACAATTTAAATTCAACGTTTTAGCTTTTCGATATTCCTTTACATGTCACTACGTCTAAATAAGTTGACTTGGGACATTTTTTTCGTGGTTTTTGTATTAGACCCGTCGTCCATTTATTTGTAAGTCAATGATCGTATATTCGTATTGTGGGCCCCCATACACGGCTGCATGCGAAATTTTAGCCGGAAAGAACCACTCTTTTTTTGGGCCCCCATTTTGAGTCGGCCATCTTGAAAAAATTTGTTAGTTGTAGCAGTTTGCCCCCGCCGCCCTCGATGACATTTGGTCGAGCACCCCCCGCCCATCGCCAATACTTGCCGAGCTATAATGCTCTGAAGTTTGTATGGCGGCCATCATGTTTTTCCCAATTTTTTTCACTTTCGGTAGAAACTGCCCAAGATGGCGGTCAATTTTAGTTCCAGACCACTGCACTGTTACCCTCTATGACATTCTTACCAGCACCTTCTACCTATCTCTAATAGTTTCCGTGATAGAAGGCTACGAATTTCGTGGCGGCCATCTTGTTTATTTGAATTTCGAACATTTTTTACTTTCTGCGGAAATTTACCAAGGTGTAAAAGGTGTGTCTCATAAAAGTGCACAAAAATCCCTGCAAAAAATACATTTATAGTTTTTGCAGGCCGTTGATCACTCGTTTACATTTTCCACATTCGGGTCTTCTCATGTTTGATTCTTTGCCTTGGAGCCTATCCGCGTACAACGATATAAATACCTTTTTTCCACCAAATCGGGAAGTATGCGTTCTATTTTTCTGAGTCAGGATTTGTAATATAATAATACCAAATTTTTGTGGAAGTTTCTAGGGGCCAATCGCGCTAATTGTCAAAGGTTTAACCAAAACCTCCAACCTCGCCAATCTGACACGTTGTGTACATTTCGTATCGCGCTAACTGTCAAAACAAAAACCTAAGCCAAAACTTAGACGTGTGACACGTAACGCACATTTGGTATCGCGCTAATTGTCAAACGTAAAACCAAAACCTAAAATGTTGCATATTGGTATCGCGCTAAATATTTTGACGTTTTAACCTCACATGTAACCTTGGGGGAATAGAGTAACCTTGGAAAGGTTAAGGTTTGTGTGGCAGTTAATGGAGAGTAACTTTTCACTACGTTTATCGTATATAAAAGATGTTCCACGGTTACTTAAATGTTTTGGAAAGTGTTTATGAGGTGGATGTGGCCTAAGAACGGGCTTTAAATAAAAGAAAAGCATAGGAAGACGATCACATTTAGCATGTCTGAGGAGAAATTCCGCAAACGATATACCGTTTGTCCACGGAATTCATTTCAGGATTGGTGGAAGAACTATGCCTACATATTCTCGTTAAAGGACGGTCTGTTGCATTGGATGTGGAGACAAAGGTAAGGGTTAAGTGGAATCCGAAAGTTCTCAGTTTTGCATAATAACCAAAATTTCTATACTGTGTAAATCATTATTAATTTTGTTACAGATTTTAATAGCTCGTATAGTTTTTAACAATTGGGGCGTACTAGACCCCCATTGGCAAGTGCTTATCACCCTTTCCCAAGCCAGTGTCAGAGAGGCACAAGCAGTAGCTGCTTCAAATAAACCAGTTATTATGAATAAATATGCAGCTTTCCTAAAAGGCATGCCGAAAGAGATGATATTAAAAGGCGGTGAGAAAATAAGCTTTACAATGTACATCATATTTATTAGTTCTTGTCTTATTTCCTGTTGTTATTATCAAATTAAAATTACAGATATAGGTAAAATATGTATAGTTGTATAAAAATATATTACAAGGTTACAATTTATCTCTTTTAACACTTGACTTTATACAACATATCGTCCCCTTACAGTGAAGCCTCACATATGCATTTTCAGTTTGTTTTTACTGATTTTTGTTGAATAAAAATTAATAATGTAATAATATAGTATCTAAAAGAGGTATAATTTAAGTAATTAAAATGCTAACTACACACATTATTGCATTTACTATACTTCACACCATATTTTTATCTTCATCCTAAAAAATTACATAGAAATATGAGGTATTCATTCTAAGATGACGATGTATACCTATTGTAATTGTTTATTATCTTAATATCTAAATTGATGTATACTTTTAAGAGGTTGAAATAAAAAAAAGAGTGTATTTTTAGTTTATTTATTGCCTCAATCTACCCCAAATGATCCTTCATTTCCAGAGCGAGCTTGCTTTTGATTCTTCAAAGAAGTCTGAAACAAAAATATGTATATAGGAAGATTGGAGACCTAAATTTAAGACTGTGCCATACCTCTCATGAGAGTAGTGACAGATAAAGCAGGATGGGTATTTATATACATACAGTATGAAGCCAACATAAACGCCAGAATGTTTAGGGGCCTTTTCAAAATACATTTAAAAAAATGTTTATATCACTGTGGAAATATAAAGGGGACAAAAGTCTACAGATTAGACCTTCGTTCCTTACGCTCTTTCAGATTTCCACAATTGAACATATCATCAGCAGGAATTAAGAAAACATGTTGAAAACAAACCTGTCATTCTTGTTAAATATTCTATCAAAAAGGTTAACTGCAGGCACCAACTCGGTAATTGCTTTGCAAATAGCAGCTACGGACTGGGCATGCAGATCATCTGTTTTGACAGAAATAATAGCTGCCTCAGCCTGCACCCTGCCAGCATTCACTTGCTGCAAGAATGCTTCGCATGCTCGCAGCTTCTCAATGCATAAGAATTCTACCCGGCTCTGCTCCAACGCTCATCAGCTCGCTGCCAACGAAATAATAGATGTGATGTAATAAAGAGTGGGAAAGAATTTGCTCAAATTGAAAGTTACTTTGTTTTTTAATTAATAATAAAGAGTGAGAAAGTTACTTTGTTATGGAATTGTATGTTTGAAGTTATTTAGTTACTTAGTGCTAGAGTTGGTGTCCTTTAGGAAGGTTGGTAGGTCCTCTGCCGCAGTCGATGTGGCGTAGATTCTCACCCTGCTTTTCATACCATTCCATATCTGAATAACAAATAATAACATTGCATATTATAGTGATATGAGTTCTGGTACAATAAGGGTGAGTGATCCATTCACTGTATCCTATTACCTCTCATTATGACTCACCTTTTGGGATCTATTGCGGGGCCACAAAATAGCCACACACTCGCACCAAAGGCGTGCTGATAACACGCGCGAACAACGCCGAGCGAAGTCATTCTCAAGCTAAATCTCTGTGCGATTCGAACTCCAGCAAAGATGGAGCTGGCTTACAGTGGTCGCTCGCCGTCCGACCGCATCCACATTGGCTGAAATACGAGCATCATTATTAATTCTACATTGCTAACATTTCGAAATTAATAGTAGTTAGCGTACCTATTTGATTGTATAAAAAGATACTATTTTATTAAATAGAATATTAAAACAGGAAAACAATGTGTAGGTACTTACCTCTGTGTGTTTTATCTACAACAACACACTAAATTCAATTAATTTGGTTCAAATGACAACTCATATGTTTGTTTACAATAGAATTTAATGACATTTCTTTTACACACTTTTTTAAATCGCTCTTTTATAGACTTGAATTCGTAGATATTGACATTTCAGTGCGTTTTACGGTAAAATTTAGTCGGTTTTAGGAAGTCAAGGCACGTCTCTTAAAATTTAATACGAGGTTATAGTTTGAGGTTTAACTGAGGTTTAGGTTCATTAAAACTGATAGCGCGATTGCATTTTGTGCGTCGGTAGAACCATTAATTAACCAAAACCATAACCTCAAATGTTGTACGGTTAAACCTTGCGAAAATAGCGCGATTGGCCCCCTGTTCTTTATCTGTTTACGGAATTGGCTTTGGCCAATGTTCATTTCTTAAATAATTAAAAAAAATAGTGTTGTGTGAGTTGTCATTCTTATGTCAAAATTGTCAAATAACTCTCACTACGTTGCCACTAAGCTCGAAAACAGCTGATTTTTTAATTTAAAAAACGTAATTTTTCAGCAAATTGAACAAAATGTTGGACTTATTTAGCATCTTCAGTAAAGGAGGCATTGTACTGTGGTGTTTTCAGAGTACTAGCGATATTTTTTCACCGTCTGTGAACGCATTAATCCGAAGTGTGATTTTACAAGTAAGTTAATTATTATTTCTGCGACGCCTGGCCTTGTTAATCAGATTAGTGGTACGTAATATGCAAACCATAGCACTTACTACGTCGAAAAAATGTGGCACAATCAACTTTTTAACAATGAAATAGAGCTTACGGAGGGGCACTTGGTCTTTGTGCCTTATCAGTTTTACATCTATCTGGAGGCTTTTGCAATGTTTATACCTCTAACTTTTAAGTACAGTAACGTCGTATCATACAAATCGTACAGTAATATCGTCATTTTATAAGACACGATAACATATAAATTCAATTAAAGTTTTTCAAAGTATCTTTGTTTTTCAAAGTCTTTTTACTACAAACACAAGAAATTCCCTAAATTACATGGATCACTATATAACATCATCGTTTTTGTATTATATTTTAAATCACAGGAGCGTTCTGGCAACAATTCCTTCAACCATAACGCTCTAACTCTCCAGTACAAGCTGGACAATGAGTTTGAGTTGGTGTTTGTGGTTGCGTACCAGCGCATTCTGCAACTGTCTTATGTGGATAAGTTCCTCAACGATGTCCACTTGGAGTTCAGAGACAAGTACAAGAATGAGCTGCGAGGAGGACGGCATATTATTGACTTTGATTTCAAGACTGCGTTTGATAAGATCTTAAGGGAATGTGAAAGTTGGGGTGAGTTTTATAAGTATACATTTATCTATTAACTAATATCTCATTTTTAAGATGTTATAATTCAGTGGCAACATGAACATTATAATAGTAATTCGTGGATGATATTTTTTTTAGTGTATATAATTTATAAGTAGTATATAATTTTGTATAAATTAGTAATAAAAGCACTTGTTCTAGCTTAGTAGTGCAGTTTTTGTCCCTAATGAAGTATAATGCGATATACATGTTTCAGCTAAATCACAAGCAAAGATTCCAAAACAAATGAGAACATTTGAGGACTCACTGAAGTCCAAGAAGACTGTCGCATCTATGATTGAGAGGAAAGGAGAGGAGAAGAGTAAGAAGTCTGGTGAGTATCTTTACTAACAAGTTAGTTATAAAAGTATCATTTATGATTTTAAATCTAAGAGTGACTTAAATTGGTCTTTGTTTAGCATATTAAACTTCTTCGTTTATTTGAACGATCATTTATTTGAAAATAAAAGCTTGTAAAATATAATTGAGCATTATGAAGTCTGACCTGAGTCACATGTAGAAAAAAAAGTAGTACATTGGTGGAAAGTCCTTATTTTTTCTTGGCAATAGTTGTGTTATCGTTTATTTGTAATATTGCTGTTTAGTTTCCTCGCAATCAAAGTGAAAACCAGTGTATTATAACTCGTTCATAAAACTCATAAAACTCAACTTATTGTACAATCTACTATTATATACGACAATATTGTTTCACTTTTAGTAGGTCCAAAGAATAATAAAAAGTATGCTTGAAATTGTAGTGAAAATAGTGGAGAACAAAGCGCTGACAAACGGTAAAGTGGAGGAATCGCCTGAGATGGAGGATGACGTGATTGCCGCGAACCGCGCGAAGCTCGCCAACAAGCTCGCCAAGAAAGGACAGAAGGAAGTCAAGTATGTGCTTTTGTTAGATGATATTTCACTAAATATGCTATTTTGATGACAGTTATTTGGTAGCAAAATCACTTTTATATTAGTGCTATCATTTCTTATTATAATTCAGCATCGTTGTTGGTTAGCGTGTTTTATTTACATTAGATTTCACCTATTACTGGGTTTTTGGTTCACAAGCATTTTAAATTACTACTTTAAAAAAAAATTTATTACTGCAAATGGGAGGTTTATGAAGACTGTTGAAAGACTAGTGAAGTTCCCAATCCGCGTTGGGTTTCCCGTGTCCCAGGAAGTCGCCGGGGGCGAAGTCGCCGAAGGCCGAGCGCGTGAAGCAGCCGCGCGTGTGGGCGTTGGGCGGCGACACGCGCGACTTGCGCAGCCTCGACTTCAGCGACGACAAGGACGCCGACCGCGGCGACCTCGACATCAGCCCGGATACACACGTAATTTTGTTGCTGTGTTCTAGGCTCCGCCGCATAAAATTATGTTATTTTGATGACAACTCCTAGCGGCAACACTTGCATTTTGTTCAGACTACGCACTTAGTCGTTTTGTGAAGAGGAACCGTAGTTATAATTTGAAATATCGGCTCCGCTAGCTGGTGGGCCAGATGGCAGGCGCCATCCGCGACTTGGAGGTGGAGTCGGACGAGAGCAGCAGCGAGGATGACGAGCCTAGCGCGCCGCAGCAGAAGAAGTCTCTCGGTGTTTTCAGCATCTTCAAAGGTATTATGTCTTTGCGATATTAATTATGTTCATCTATTAGAATACTAACAGTAGACGCGTAATACCCGAATAATAAGTTTGCAAAAAAAGACAAACATGTGCTAAATTTACTGCACGTCTCAATTTGATACGATTTGGCATCGGGTTACTGGCTTCGTTCTCGGCCCTGAAGCCCGTTCGATTCGCGCCTGGTGGTCTCGCAGGTCTGGTGGGCTCGAAGGCGCTGACGGAGGAGGCGATGCGGCCGGCGCTGGACAAGCTGCGCGACCACCTCATCGCCAAGAACGTCGCCGCCGACATCGCCAACAAGCTCTGCGACTCCGTGGCCGCCAAGCTCGAGGGCAAGGTATCTGCGACGTTTCAAAGCTGAGATTATTAAAATAGTTTGTTGGACTTACAATTCGAGCGACGTCCGTCAGGTGCTGGGCACGTTCGACAGCGTGGCGAAGACGGTGAAGGCGACGCTGACGGAGTCGCTGATGCTGCTGCTGTCGCCGAAGCGCCGCGTCGACATCCTGCGCGACGCGATGCACGCCAAGGAGCAGGGGCGGCCGTACGTCGTCGTCTTCTGCGGGGTGCGTGCCGCGGACCGGTGCGGCGGCCCGGCCGGCGGCCGCGGCGGGAAGTGAGCGAACGCGATCGGTGCAGGTGAACGGCGTGGGCAAGTCGACGAACCTGGCGAAGATCTGCTTCTGGCTGGTGGAGAACGGGCTGAGCGTGCTGGTCGCGGCCTGCGACACGTTCCGCGCCGGCGCCGTGGAGCAGCTGCGCACGCACGTGCGCCGCCTCAACGCGCTGCACCCCGGCGCCGTGCGCCTGTACGAGAAGGGCTACGGTGGGTGCCGCCCCGCCCCGCCCCGCCCCGCCCCGCCCCGCCCCCGCCCGCCGCTGACGCCCGCCCTCTTGCAGGCAAGGACGCGGCGGGCATCGCGGCCGAGGCCGTCCGCGCCGCGGCCGACGCGCGCGCCGACGTGGTGCTGGTGGACACGGCGGGCCGCATGCAGGACAACGAGCCGCTCATGCGCGCGCTCGCCAAGCTGATCAAGGTCCGCCCGCCCCGCCCGCGCCCCTCGCCCCGCCCGGCCCCCGCTCACGCCCTCTGCCCGCAGGTCAACGCGCCCGACCTGGTGCTGTTCGTGGGCGAGGCGCTGGTCGGCAACGAGGCCGTGGACCAGCTGGTCAAGTTCAACCAGGCGCTGGCCGACCACAGCTCCTCGGCCGACCCGCACGTCGTCGACGGGATCGTGCTCACCAAGTTCGACACCATCGACGACAAAGTGGGCGCCGCCGTCTCCATGACCTACATCACCGGCCAGCCGATCGTGTTCGTCGGCACGGGCCAGACCTACACCGACCTGAAGGCGCTCAACGCGAACGCCGTCGTGCACGCCCTGATGAAGTAGTCGAGCCCCGTTCTCGTTTCCTCGATTTCATCTTTACCGAGAACGACTTTTTTCGAGACGCATTATCGACCAGGCTTCCCTACTCCTGTTGCCAGTGTGTTCCCTAAACGACGGTGTCGGTGTGTTTTATATAAATAAGCTTTAATTAAGAATTCCATTCGTCCCCCTTACGTACTTTTATTCTATTTCGCCATTGTCCGTTTCTATTTCTCCTGTGAGTTTTATTCCGTGTCGAAACACCAATCGCGCACTGGCAATTTTTTTATGAGGATCTTATTATTCACGATGTGAGATGCAGCACAGTTAAGACGACAGCCCGCTAGCTATTTTAACTAAAAATAACGGATTAGTCACGTATTTAAGCCGAATTTCATGATCAAGGAACACGAATTGCTTCGAAACTGGTCGAGCAAAAAATTCGACTTCAATACGTGAGTTATCCGTTATTTTGTGCGTTGCAAATTATTTGTTACACATGAAGACTGAAACCATATTTCTAGACTGAGTCTTTAACGTTTGTAATTCAATTAGCTTACTTTGTTATTTTCTACTTCCCTTCTTACCTGATCTAAAAGTAACTTAAGGTTAAACTCGTATTGAAAACCGCAATGTTACATATTGTGCTGACAATTTATACTATTTGTGTACATTCACTTGAAGGAACTAAACTGTGCTACAGCTCGTGCGATGCTAATGAATTTATATCCGTTATAAATTATAATACTTGATTATGGAATTGTTTATAATGAATACAAACATTTTATTATATTACGTGTTTAACTTTTCATTGCATCCTAGTTTTGCTAAGGATCCTTCCTTTTTGGAAAAAGTTACGATTACTGGGTTTATGTTGTATGTAGTGTTATGGAAGAAACTAGTGGACATGACGTCATAAAAGTTTTTAACTTCACACTAACCAAATTTCAGAAATCTGCACTCAACAATGAATTGCAAACGATAACGCGCACAGTGATACGTGAGTTAAGGAAATCTCAATTCTCTCATAGTCCATACAGTTGGAAACAATTAAAATTACTTCATCGTCCCATTTCTACAGTCCGCACATTAACAGCTTCTGTTTAACTCAATTGGACATCCTGATTACGACTAATTAACATACATTTTGGCGCTTTTTTGGCAATTCGAGCCATATGTTATCGCGAGAGGTGTCCTGTATAACAGTTCGGGCTTGCTGATAAGTCGAAACACAGTTATGGAGGCTTTTTTCGAGCAACTTTACTCGAGTATAGTTAACTATAAGGTGAATAAATGCTGCTTCATCGTACCACTCAGGCCTGGCATCTTGATTCTCGGGTATTTCAATATCATTGTCTCGGTAAGTACTCACATGTTCTAAATTCGTTTATATGTATGTTCCTATTAAATATATAAATGTGAAATAATTATTGTCCCGCAACTTTTTTTTATATAAAGAATTTGTGTTACATTGTTGTCCCATTTTAAAATTAATGTTTATTATACACTGCATTTTTAAATAAAACCGTATGGAGAAAACCGAAACCATATACCTACAGGGAAACTGTGTTAGGAACCATTAGGTCTTTTTTTATAAAACAAATTTTATTTTTTGGTCAAGCATGAGTTGTCCATAGAATTGAATCATATTGACCTTTTCTTTTTAATACAAACTCGGTGGCTCGTAGCGACCAACTTCTGCTGTCAGATTTTTTCTTCCGATACAGTGTAATGATAACGATCCTTACAAGCATTAAAAAAATATTGTCAATGTTATTTATTTTTATGGACAACTCACGCTTGACCAAAAAAATGACTGTTTGTGGCAAATTTGTTTTCCAAAAAGGACCGAATATAAATTGCTAAAACACTTTCCCTGTATCTGCTAAGATTTCGAATGTCACCATACTGTCCTACTTAAAAAATCACACCGTATAAAACACATTGTTGTTTCAAGTCATATAAATTATAATAATACATAATCACAAAATTATAGCTAAATTCAGATTGCGTAGTGGTTTTTTTTGTAAATAACGCACACATTCAACATAGCCCCGCACTAGGGAAACCCTGTGTCGCGGGTGCCATGGACACACACATAGACAACCACAAATTACACCCAAACTCATGAGAGAAATAAATGTAAGCCATACAAACATTTCTCCCGGTCCGGGAATCGAACCTGGGACCTCTGCGTGGCAGGCCGGCATGGTAACCGTTCGGCCACGGAGGCAGTTAGATGTTCGTCACAATAGACGAACATACTAATAACAAGGGAAAAAAATCAAACATTTTAACACAAAAGCTATTTATCTTACCAGGTGATCCTGATAGTGGGTGCGGTGAGCGACACATTCGCACCAACCTTTAAGCAGGTGCAGTTCTCGGTGCTGGAAGATGCGTCTAACATCACAGGCGTCTTAAACCCTACCATCGAGCTCGCCTTCAACGTCGTCTTACTATGCGGCATGCACAGGGTAATCATCACCTCTATCATCTAATATAACCATAGTCTAAAAATCTTGACAAAATCAACTTGTATTATAAATTTTTATTGAATTGTTATTTAATTATTTTTTTGTGAAATTACTCCACTAGTTTGTTATAATTATTAATACAAAGATCGCTAAGACTAAAAAGTCGTTGAAAAACCAAATACAAAAACACGACGCAAGCACATAAGAAAAAATTCGTGAGGTCTGCTGGTTCGTTCCGTGGCTTAGTTGGTATAGCGTCTGGCGCGGTATGCTAGAAGACGTCTTTTCGAATCCGGCCGGATCGAAGGAATTTTTTCTGAGTGTTCGATCTTTGTATTAATAATTAAAATCAACTTGGATTGAACAATCTACACACGGCAAAACGTCTTAGTGGTCTCCTTCTATGGTTGTGGAGCTTTTGATTCAGTCAGATTCTTGCAGAATTTGAAAGAGCCGTGCTAAGACGGCCTGTAAGGCTGTACACATTTCATCAACCAAGTAACCTGTGCTTGGCGGTGGAATTATAGTTGATCATTAATTACCAGGCCGACATTACGCTACTGAAGGTGTACACGTACTACGGGCTGGCAGCCATCGCTAAGACCATCATCGAGTACTCCATGGTGATCATCGGCATCAGCGCCGTGTTTACTACGGTCATCGTATTTTCTATACGTAAGTTTATTCTTGTTACGCGTTAAGATACTCGGGAAAGGCCATCATTACATTAGGTCATATAAGTTTGGGATAGGTTTCTGTGTATTATCATCAAAAGGACAGGAGAAAGAAAGCCGTGGCATTTACGGCCTTTCGATTAGCTAGTTATCACCTGAAGACATCTTTGTACAATTCAACCTTAGCGTGTAAGTTTCCTTCTTTGATGTTGTCTACTTCTTTTACAGTATATCAAGCGTACTTAATTTTTCTGGTGAGGAGCGAAATCGTCGACATAAGACTACAGCAATATCTGAATAAAAACGGCTATACTCGGACATCCCCTCCTAACAACCAACTAAATTTAAACGTTACGAACACAGAAACAAATGAACAGAATAACATACGTTCTAACACAGTCGAAAAATCCCCTAAAGAGGCGGTAGATACTAAAGTGGAAATCGTTGATGAGAAAAAACCGGAAGTAAAATTTGATAGAGTCAGCAGAGGTGCCATTGCAAGACTGAGTGACAAATACAAAGTTACTAGTGCTGAGAACAAAGGTTCCAAAACAGACACGACAAAAGCGAGTGATACAAGTTCTGATCAAGACAACGCTGTAAAAACACCCGAAGAAGTGATTCCCAGTACTTCTAAAGATGTGAAACAGGAAGCAAAGAAAAGTGACGATAGCAAAGTGATAAAAACAATATCTGAAGATAAAGAAAATGATGAGGCGAAAAATGCCCCTGTTCCAAAAAAACGTGGATTGTTTAGACGCAGCAAGTCTGATAAATAAAGAGACATTGTCTATAAAGCAGCAGATGATGTAAAATGTACTACACTACCGAGCTTTTCTGAGCGCTGAAATGGCGGCCCTTGTGTTGATTTTCATAATAGTTTGTGTTGCCAATACAAGAAATTATTCACTCATTAAATTCCCAGAATGAGTCAAAATTTAGTTTGTCAATATTGCGACCTAAGTGAATGGTAGTCACTGCTTGAGCTCCAATAATTTTCGACCTATTAAAATAAATGACGACTGCGTCGTACTATATTAACTTAGTTTTTCTATTAAAATAATGAAAGGTATTTATTATTATGATGTGCATGAAGCAATGTAGCAGTGACAGGTAAGTGGAAAAAAGACTACTTCTCTATTGAGAGGTCCACGGTCCCAATCTTTATTGAAATGTGACTTTGAGTACTAGTTTTTTGCTGTCGGTGAAGGAAAACATCGTGCTGATACTTACACGTCGAACAAGGTTCACAACCCCTGGAAAAAAGGTGTGAACTCCCCAACACGCATTCTCACCCTCTCCTTAGAAGAGACCCGTGCCCGGCCCGACTCATAATGAATTGAAGATTAATCATAAACTGTGTACTTTGGGTTTTTAAAATAAACGCATGAAAAACCAGTACAATGTTGTAATAATCAATCTTAAATCAATGGTAACAAAAATAATTCTAAATACACTACGTTAAATACAATGGAATGGAATTTACGAGCTTCTTAGCAATGTAAAGACGTTTGAGTAATACAACCACTACAATTGAAATTACATTCATTTATTCTAAGTCTTATAATTACTAATACATAGACATGTTTGTCTGTCATAGTGCACAAAAATGGTAGAATATACAAAGTTTTGTCATCTAAACTATACCTTACAATTAGTCCCGAAAGTATTTACCGATTCAAACAGAACGGTGCTATAGCTTTTTACTGGGTAATAAAGACATTGGTAATGTTGCGCTACCTATAATCTAAAGTCGCAACAGAAAAATCGTTATACTCAGTTTCAAAGTGCCTTAAAATGTATGTTAGAACACGGAAGTATAAACACGTTTATAAGGAGCGTTACTCACCGAGCGCTGAACGCTTCTTATACACACGGCAAGTCTATTATATACCGACTAATGGTATATAATTATAGCACTCACAATCGGTCTGTATCACAGGAGTTATAATCTAAATAATCAGTCGATTTTACGTATCATGGTCTCGTTTCATCGTCTTGGCACCCGACCACCACCTCAGATCTTGAGAGGTTTCTTTCGTTGTATCAAGGACCAATAATTGAAGTGGACTGTTATTCTCGTAACGGTGAAAAAGGTCAAATTTCTGTCTTAGATGGCGCTGACCAATAAATACCCTGGAAATAGTTTATAATTATGTAAATTGCCGTGGATATCAATTAAGGTGTCCGTCAGGATGGCTGGACCACACGAGATATACAAATAAAACGGTGTTCATTATTTACTACGTATTTTCTACTATTTAGTAATTTTACTGACATATTTTCTACCTTTGCGCTAACGGAATGGCTGGCCACTTTCTTTCTTTAATATTTATTAAAGAAAGAAAGTGGCCAGCCATTCTGTTGTCAGGTTGGCTGGACCACTTTACATTTTTCATGGTCCCAGCAGTATATAATTTACTTTTTTTATGTAACTATTTGCTACCTAATTTCCACCTAAACATACTTTTTTTCTCTATTTTAGGAAGCTTCTATAAAAAGTTATTTGAAAAAATAATAACACGCCTTTGCAAAATATTTTCTAAAAAGACAGTTTGTTTTCTCCGTGTAATTGCTTTATAAATGAGTGATTATAATTCGTTCGCATTCCTTAATACCTGCAAATGGAATTTACATTTGTAATAGTGAATTCAAGTAGTAATTAATATAATAAATGTTATAAAATATTGCATGCAAAGATAATCCAGAAACCATTGTTGGCAGATTCTAAGCGCCTGCAAAAATATTGTTGGCAATTACGCGGAGAAGATAAACTGTCTTTTTAGAAGATACCTTTTGCAAAGGCGTTTTATTATTTTTTTTTAAATAACTTTTTATAGCTTTCTAAAATAGTGAAAAAAAGTTAGAAAGTTAGTTAGAAATAAGGTAGTAAATAGTTATTTAAAAAAAAGTAAATTATATACTGCTAGAACCACGAAATATGTGAAATGGTCCAGCCAACCTGACGTCAGAATGGCTGGCCACTTTTTTTCTTTAATATTTCCGTTAGCAAAGGTAGAAAATATGTCTATAAAGGTACTAAATAGTAGAAAATACGTAGTAAATAATGAGCAGTTTGATTTGTATATCTTGTTTGGTCCAGCCATCCTGACGGACACATTAATTCACCTGTAATATGAAATACAAGTAGTCAGTTTATTTTCCTTGTAATATTCAAATATTGGCCATGAGCTAAAATTACTTTTTTAGCTTTGACAAATAGGAGTATTAATAGGTGGCATTGTGTGTTACAAAGTCATTTATAAATTACCGCTTGCTAATATGTGTAGATGGCGCTAATTCTAAACAAAATAAAAGAATCTAGTCGATTTGTTTTTTATCACTAGAAATCAGACTCGTCAATGTAAAACAAATTAGTTATAAAAATAGCTATTTAGTACTCGTCGCGACATCTAGTGTACCAATAGGTGCTAAATACCCGACTACGCTGCCTTGTATCGCTACTAGCACTCCTCTCGAGTTATTGGTCAATGGCTATATGGAGTTCGGAACTGTACAGTCAATTGTTAACTTTATAGACACGGAATTGTTCCTCGCCTGCGTCAGTGAGGCTCACGAAAGTTGACAACTCGCCGCTCACGATTGGTGGAGGTGAAAAGTGTTGATCGGGCGCTGGATTGACAGATGAGCGATAACCTTACGCTACATTTGTCATCTCACCACGCTTCTGCAAAATAGCTCTTAGTAATTCCAAATTAAAGTGATGAAATTAAACATAATTTTTTGGAAATTGACAAAATAGATTTAAAAAAATAATCTTTTTTTAGCTATTATTAACGGTACCATTTTTAAAATTTATGCCAGTAAGTATCGTAATTTTAAAGATTCTGCAATCTGCTATTCAACTAGTATTGTGGGAGCACAAAGTGAGAAAGTAGGGTCGGTGCCCTCCACTTAGGTATCCACTATTTGTACTAAGTGCTATACAAACAGTGGATACCTGAGTGAGGGCACCGACTGTACAGATTTTCTTATTAAAGCACTCGCCGGCTTAAGTCCAGTAGCGCTTCAACCGATTCGAAAAAACTTTATTCATGCAATAAGAGCGAAAAATGCGCGTTTTTTCGCTCTTATTACATAGACATAAAGCTGTTTCTGACCGCCGGATTATTGCGATTCCGTGACGACACAAGTTTAATAATAAATATATTCTTTTTGTTTAAAAATAAGGTACATCGTCTGGCCGGGTATCTATATAGTTCATGTGATACCAATGTGACAAAATGGTATTTGTTATACTTATGAAAAACGATATATCTCGTTATTTGTTTAAAGGATTATTTTTTTAAATTTTGTCATTTTATTATTGAAGATGTCATGTGATAAATTGATAATAGGCAGCGATATGAATGGCATACAAAACTTCCATTTAATACGTAAGGACATATCGCCGAAGCATGCTGAATGACAAAATTATAGAACATTTTTATAAAAAAGTAACACATTTTACCTAAAAATACTTACTGTAAAAGTGGGAAGACGTAGTCACTTGATATGACATTGAGTGTACAGAAATTGGCGCGTCAAGTCACACGTGGCGCTGCCCAATATTGTATTCAATTTAATATTGTTACCCTAGTGGTAACGTTAAATAAATCTTAAACAAGTACTAAATAAATTACAATTCCTTTCAAAAGCACTCACCCTAGCACCCTGTTCCCGTAAGCCTTTACTATCTACCTACCTTTTAGGCTCTACTATTCGGACACGCGTCATGATCAGTTCTAGAATTGTTTCTTTTACGTAGAGCGTTTAGCCGTCTCGCTTTTTTATCTCTACAATGTCTTGCTTAAGTACAGTTGAAAAGAAAAAATAAATGCAGTCGAAGTAATTTTAATTATATATTACCATACATTGTATTGTGTCATGACTACGAGTAGTCAGGTCTCAGTACAATATTAGTAGCTTTAATACACGTATTCATAGTGAGGATATGAAAGTCAAGTTGTTTATGTCAATGATTTGACTGTAATATTTATTTTTAGACTACTAAAAAGTATGCAATTACATCTCAAAGGTAAATATTTAGACAAGTTGTTAATCTTAATTTAACGAGGTACTCGGAATGAGGTAATTGTAATTGCAGTGAGAAATAAAAATTATTTTACAAATATTATTGAATGTTTTACATTTTTGTTATGGCGGTGCTATACCAGACTTTACGTGAAGCGTGAACACCACTGTTATCACAGGACAATAGACATCTCGAAGAATAGGGAACAATTTCAGTTTTTCAACATTTTACTTTACGACTAAAAATATACTAATTATTACTAATCTGCATAGATCTTGGTATAAAAGTTATTTGTATTTTGAAGTGGGCAACAAGAGGGGTTCCTATTTAACTACAGCCCAATACGCATGAGGTGAACGCTTTACTGCCCGTTGCGTCTGGATTTCTTTTTTAATTATGTAGGTAGAAATTTGTTTACATCACATCCAGGACCACACGATAAATTCAAAATAAAATTCTCGATCGAAGTTGGAATTTTATTCGTTTGAACCAATATTCCTACGTGTGTGGTCAAAATTTAATTCTAAACACGTGTATACAAAATAAATCTTTTTTCTATTTATATTAAAGACCTTGTGGCTCCGTCGAATGATTTTAATACAATAATGTAACACTTTATTTGTTTTCTGCAAAACTAAATCGTATTGTAGATAATAGCCAGCGTTAGTCAATCCTTCTTCTTTCTGAATTGTTGCATACTTCTTAGGTAATAACAAAAGTAGTAAACATAACTTTAAATAAAGGACATAGTTTACGTTAAGGTACATTATTTCTCTCAATAAGTTGTACTTAGGACATATATATGTATTTAGTAGATATCGGAATCGCAAGGGTATATTCATTTAAACTAGAAGTAATTCACGTAGAGTAAATAATACCTCCCTCTGAAATCGTGGAAAGATTAAAAAAAACAAAACAGTTAAATGTTTACTTACAATTACAAAACTTTTGCTCTTAACACACTATCGTAGAAAGGTAATTGCTACTTACACATAAAAAATATAAAATAAAAACAATATAATGATTCCAAGATTTCAGATGGAGGTATCCACTCCTTGATATTTTTGCGTAAATATACTTTGCCCATTCCAATCTTATGTAACCAGTAATCAATTTCCCAGGGAAATAAGAGAGGCAACACTCGCAAATGTATCAATCATATCACATTTAACGACTCCTGTGTACTTAACTGACGACATCAGCACGGTCAACAACAGATAAAGCGCAACAAACACATCTCGTGTCCTAAAAGACTAGGTGGATGAAAGTTATATTACAACGTCGAACATCAAATTCTAAATCGGATTATAATTGTTCCCATCAACATCGTAAGTTCGTGTTTTCGTGATAAAAAGCGACGATCTGGACGCACAGTAAGTTGGTTTGCTTATGGAACAAGTAAGCTATTAGGGCCAGAGCAAACGGCGGACGGCGGGGGAGAGCAACGAAGAGGTCTTTTGCCCGCCAGCGCTCACTGATAACTGATATCCCTTACGATAACGCGAGCGTCTGCCAGCCTACAGCAGAGCCTGCTGACATGCCTCCAGTCGCTCGGATTGGAATCTCTTCTACCAGGGACAATTCCATGGTATACCGGTGCCTCCCGCCGGGGTATCCTCTATCATGATCTTCAATACTGTAGAGAGAAATGCGCTGCGAAACTCCGAGCTTTCATAAATTTTCATAGTATCAAATATATGTACGTTGTTAAATATCATGTCCCCTGCTTTTCCATCCGCCGATTTGCGCTGCACTTTATACTGTAATAATGTTCAATAGAACAAAATCGTGCCCCAAACCTCTTATTGCTTATTGTTAAATTTCAGTAAATTGGCTTATGCACTACTGAATATATGTATTTGCATCTAGTATATGGTAATGGAACTTCAAAAGGTGCATATCAGCTGTTTATATAATAAGATGTAGTATGATAATAGCAAACGTTATTGGATTTAAATAAGGTCAATTTTTAGCGAAAACGTTTTGTCTAATTTCATTTGATAATTGCATCTAATCAAAACACTGTTAGGCTCAACTCACACTGGCGCAGAGTCGAAGCGTCGTGTCGCGTCATGTTTTTCGCCTATAGTATATTCATCTCTATTTTGCCATTATTAACATACAAATTTGTGTTATGCAAATATGGAAACGGGCGTCGACGCTTGGATGCAGTCGAGCGGCTTTGCGCGTCGACGCGCGTCACTTGAACGCAGGAGTGGCCAGTGTGGCATTAGTGCGCCCTAAAGTCGCACTGATGTCGACGCGCGTGAGTTGAGCCTTATCTTTTAAAGTATGTAATGTGAGATCAAGTTTACAAGCGTGTACGTTTGGCGACAACGCTTATCGACTAGTTTGTTATTTACATGGGTTTGGGTTTTTGGAGTATAACGTGGAGCATTGCTTGCAAGTCTACACTACCAGTTTCATTACTCCACCAAAAACAAATCCATTTTATATGCTGCATTAACAACGCAATGAGTTAAAAAAAAAACAGACATCGTAATTTGTTAGATTTAGACTACTTGAACAGAAATTGATCAAATTTCTGTTCGAATAGTCTTTGCAAGGAAATAACTTTTGAAATCGTTATACTTTTGACATCATTTACAGTAGAAATCGCGTACCGGTGTAGCTGTATTAGCAAGTTTTTTTCCGAATCCAAATAAAACTTACGTTTGTTTTAACGTGTAGTTAACGCGTTTACGATTAAGTAGTAAAAGGGCGCAGTAGTTTTCAATAAGCGGAACAAAATTTATCTTAAAAAAGTATGAAATCGATGAATTTTTTGTTCAAACACGACATCTGCTGTTGTGCAGTGCTTTGGGAACTTTTATATCCCAATTTATGATCACACCTTTTACACATAGTAAGATTTATAGACACACGATTCCTTCCAGACACAAACCCTGTGTTATTAAATGAGTGACACCGAGCAGAAGCTGTTACGTTTAATCTTTTATTGACCGCACTTACATATAAAAAGGTTGACAAGTTACCATGACCAACAAGTTACCATTACCATTGGATGGTGGCGCTTCTATCGACTTTCTTTTACCATCAGTCTTGCCGGGGTCTTATTATTTAAACATTATTTAAGGGGTCAAGTTGTCAGATTTTCCAATAACATTTATCGAATTACAATGTGTAATGCTACATGAGTGACGCTTAATACTATATTATATTTGGCATTTTCGTTCTTCGACTTACTGCATATTCATGCGGCTGAAGCTGGCCTGTCCACGACCTGCGCACGCGCAAAAAAGATAAGTATGCACTTTCGTACCACTACCACTTCGTCTATCTACATTTGCATACGGCAGGTCAAAAATATAGGTGGACACTCTGGTATGAGGTTGAAGCGTTCGTATAGTCCATTTCACATAGGATGGGTAAGTGACATTTCAAATGTTTACGTTACATGCATCCTATTTTTAATTACTCTCACAATTGTTACAAAAAGAAACAGTAAATTTGTTACAATAGACCAAAAGCAAACAATATTTGTGTCAATCGTAATATTGAGTAAAATTTAATTTATAAAGTAGATAGAAACTGAAATGATAAAGATAAAAATAAGTTACCGGGTTATATGCATGGGTCATTTTCTTTTGTTTTGAGCTTTGCCTGATGTTTTTGGATTAATTGTTCAACGGACTTGTAACGAATTAGTGTGAAGCTTGGTACTTTATTCCCAGAAAAATTTAACCAGCCTCAATTGTTTTGCTAGATATGAGCTTGAAATAAAGAGCTAAGCTAAATAATTTAAAAAAAAATTGTGACCTGCATTTTTTATTTATTTATTTTTAAAACAAAAGTGTGGTAGATATGTTAAATTAATTCCAGCAACACGGCGATACAAAAAAGTCCAAAAAGAAGCAACACTTTAACGCTAAAATATTGAAAATCATAATTCTGATTGGCTAATTAAATTGCAACAAGAATGACCTTGACATCTGATCTGACAATATTTTTTTATGGCATTGGCCACTTGCCATATTAGCAGAAAATTACATAAAAATCCGTTCCGTTCCATGGGTTTGCGTTCCGTTTTAGTTTACATAGTATTAAAAACGCTAAAGATTTTCTGGAAACTGCAGGTCAAAAATAATTTGTTTTTAATTCAGACTTTCTATATTTTGAGAGCTCTTTACAAAATACCAACTAATAGACTGGTTAAATTTTCCATTTATTTTAGTACCACTAAAGGAACAACTCCTTTTGTTTCGTTGCTGTTGATTTTATGCTTTTTTGTTGACTTTTTGTTCGGGTTTTGTTGATTTTTTCAATTATTGTATAGTTTTTTAGTAACTTAGTAACATAATAACTGTCTATTTTGTTAATTCCTTGTTCTTAAACTATTAGTCTTTAAATCGATTCTCTCTTCGTTATAAACTATCTCGATAAGATATACAAATCACTACATCTCTAGAAACGTAAAATCTCAAACGTCACGGAACCCATGCTATGCGAAATGGACTATAATAACACAAGTGTGTTGGATTCAATACTAACCATCATCATTGTTGCGATGGCGCCTGCCTGCTTCCAGAAATGGTAATGGCATTGTTTGTATAGGAAGAGAGGAAATTTGTACATTAAAGAATGTTTACAAAAACTGAGGTGTAAACCATTTTAGAGCGAAAGTGGTATAAATAATTATAATAACAGTTAAATGCATTAAAATACAATGAATTATTCAATGATTTACAGTTAACAGAATGTCAAGCGAATACACTTTTGTTCCAATATCGCCTCCAGTGCAACGAAATAAGATCCGTCAATATGTAGCGTGATGTGTTGTCCTTTGTATGTACATTGTTCCAATGAACTTTTTTTGTTCGTGTCCTAATTAGATTATTAATTTGGTAACACGGAATCAGAAACTCCTCCCCGTAGCCATTGTTTCAATAATGTTTATGGTACATAAACAGGTAAACAAACGGCCCACCTGACGGAAAGCAAGTATCGCTTTGTGCAGTTGTATAAATGTATGTAAACACTTTATTGTACAACAAAACAAATAACAAATTTAAGAATCAAATATACAGGCTGTATATTTGGAAGTGGGACATACTTATAGAGTGCGTTATATTCCTGATTCTAAACCCAAAGAAATAATAAACTAATGAACTTAAACTTTACAAAAAATATTTTTTAATTTTTTTTATCGACTACTACTTGAGCACAACATTAGTTATCGAAATCTATGCACATCACTATTATTGCTCCGACGCAGCGGCGAAAAGCAAAGCACAGGTCGGGGGTAAGGACGCGGGCGCATACGCGAAATTGCTCAGTCCACGCGCGACCTTGATCTAATGAAGACACGTAAATTATTTGTCCTTCCGCTCGCCCGATCGCCGCAAAATGGGTATTTATTCTAACGTGGAATTGACGGAGATGGTGCGACTTTACGCAATAAGTGATGATGGTGTGAGGCAAGCTATTGAAATGTTCCCAATCGGCGTTTACACAGAGGAGGTGGACAGTGTCGAAGCGTTGCGTGAGAGGATTATCTCAGCATTTTATACTGTGAGACAAAATGTGTTTGTGTTGTACAATTTAAAACAAAATTTACTATGCCGTGCTAGACTATGCATTGTGGAAAACGGTGGACATTTTGAACACTTGCTCCGTACCACGTAAGTGTAAATAAACTGTAAATAACTAAAAAATCACACACAATGATTTCACATTTTTAACTACGCCAAAAACCTCAATTCTTATTAAATGATAACTACTTACTAAATCATAAACTTATATTTTTTAGTACGTAAAACATTTCGATGATAGTTCAAATAAAAAACAATTAACATAAGCTAAAACGTAAATGTCAAATCATTGTTATTGTTGCTGTCTCACTCGGCGCTCGCTTGGTAGCATTCCCATTGCACTCGAAATCAAGCGTAAAGGAATCGGTTTATTCCTATCTACACTTCAAAACACATTTGTTGATTTATTTTTTGTTACATTCCATATCCTAATTTTATTTTAGTCTATGTTAAGTTGTAACATGATTTACTATGACATGTATGAATATGTCTCACTTTCAAATATACAGCCTGTATATGAATAAAACGTTAGTGTACAAAGGCGAGCTTATCCCATAAAGGGTTTTCTTCCGGCTAACTTTACCATTAGCCGCAGCATCAATATCACAAATGTCCTCTGAAATATAATACATACGTAGATGCCACGTGCCCCTAGGGTAGTCAGAGGCTACGGCTCCGTGGGAAACTAGTTGACATAATAATGAATAATAAAAAAGTGCATTCACCTCGTCCACGCGAGGAAGAGAGCGACGGGAACTCCGAGTCGGAGTCGAGCGACAGCTCCGGCGGCGCCGCGAAGTCGCGCGAGTCTGCAGGGGCAGGGGCGAGGTTATTCCATTTGCAAGGCTATCATAACAGCACATTGTGTATTAAGGGCGGTAAGGAATTACTATCGAGGGTCTTGGACTTCAACGACTTCATCTCAGCTCGTTAACGCCCTCCGCTAACGCTCCTCTTTTGCAGCCAGCCAATTGGTCCTGTGCGAATCTCATCCACCATCTTCCGGCCTCCCGGACGATATCGTCAGACGAGCTAGAAGGTGGTTTCCAGCCAGGGTCGTTAGGATTTGGCAGCCGGATCTCTGCCTGAGATTCTTCGCACCCTCTCTTCAACGACTTCAGGTTTGTAATTTTTTACCGCCCGTGCTACATATACCGTTTTTCCACCACATTTGCGAGGAAATAAATATAATGATAATTTATTTCTTGTATGAATAATTATCGTTTCACGACACAATTACAGATGATATTCTTCCATAAAGGGGGCATTCATTATCCTGCATTGCAGTACGGGTTATGAATGTAGTCGCAGCGCGTAAGCCATCCTGCAATGCGTCCTGCGAAACTCCATACGTGGGCCATACGCAGGATAGTGTGTGAGCAGTTTCCTACGCGGTGGACTGCCATACAGGTAGTGAATGGGCCGTTATGGATAATACAACTCGAGCTAAAATATTATAAGAGGCACAGACGCATGCAGCCACATTGTATTAAATATAAAATAAATAATTTCCAAATTCTGAAAATACTGCAGAACTTGAAATCACAAATAGTTAAATTGCAAATATTTAGTTTTTTATGCTTCGAGCTTACGCGAAATATGTATATATTTAGATTTTTCGAGCATAAAAGCTTTTTTCTTGAATACAAATCCATAGGGCGATAATGCAATGAAAAAGGCCGTGTGCATAATTTAGGACATTACAACCGACTTTGTCTGCTTGTTTTGGCATTGTTTACGAGCAAGTGTGATGAAATAATATATTACCTATCTCTACGCTGCATTTCCTAATATCCTTAGCTCATATTGCTTCAGTGCACCAGACCATAGCCTTCATCTTGTCTTTAGACGAAACCTAATCGCTTCCGCTCGGACCAGCGCCGATGCGAAACGCATGTCTTTTTCTCTTTATTGCACGAGCATAAAGCTTTTTTAGGCCGGCTTGATGCGATTATGTCAATAAATGAGGTGGCCACCGCCACCGCCCTTAATCTTTTCAACCATGTGGAGCACGGATATTTTTATATCATAGTGCTTAAAACTCACTTATTTTGAATAATAAAAACTAAAATAGACATATTCTATGACAGGTATATCCTTGAACGAGTGCGACATTTTACTTACAATTAGTGGCGGGCAGTCTCAACGGCGCGTGGGTGCGTTTCTCTTTTTTTGAAGCTGAAACAGACACCGGTGTTTAGGTATATAAAAATTAAATTCTTAAGAACTATGGCAAACAATTTAGAACAGCAACGGTAATAAATACTAGAAAACCTGATAGACTGGTGCTAGGTTGCTGTCTTTAGACTGTATTATTTTAAAGAAATTGTTGGTTGCCCACACCAAAAATATAGTGACGGATCGAAAGTCTAAAGAATTGATTTTTGGAGACACTGAATCAATTTACAATATCGTAGTGCACATAATAGTAGTTTTTGTCACTATTACATAAAGAAAGGCGAATTTTAATGCCCGAGTGTGGGTTTCTTAAAAACATCTCACGCGTGTTTTAATGCTTAATTATGTACAGTTACATACGCTGCTTTATCTACACACATATTATAAGCTCTCTGCGATGTGTTCAGGAACCGCATGTTACCACTGGCGAAATGGCGGCAAATTAAAACTTTTTGAATACAGTTGCTCAAAACGTGGTATTTTTCGTACTATAAATCGTGCCGAAAGTTGGATTTTTTGGCACCAGTGCTTTTTAGTTTTCCATTTCTTCTTCTGTTGTTTCAAGTCTTACACATATAACTAAGAGGTTGTATATTTATGTGCTTTGTGACTAGTCATTCGTCATTAAAACTTATATTTACTTACAAACATCTTATTTGTTTAAATTGCAAAGGTGTTTTATAACACAACGGGTTACTTTTAAAAATACCAAAATATTTTCCATAAAGATGGCTAATTGAGCATTAACAACGACCGGAGGTGAGTATTACGCGAGACCGCTGCGCTGCGAGTCGCGCCTCTAAAATATACTGTTTTAATTTACTTTCAATGTAGTTTTTTCGCAACTGTATTAAAAAACGTCGTTTGATACACGTACGGATTTGTCATTTTCACTTGTCTCGAGTCTTCAGAAGCCTCGAGACTCGTGAATAATAACTAACTTCCGCACTTGTATCAACTTCAACTTTTGTATCTATGGCTCCGTCGTTTTGCGCGATTTCGCCAATGTCAGGGTTGAAAGACATGTCGTGCGGTGGTGAGATAGATTGCCGGTTATTAAAATAGTTAGGCGGAAAAATAACTATTTCTCACGCATGTCACACAACCGTAGTTTTTATTTCTAATTCATAGACAAACTAGAATCGGCCCCAACTATCATATCGTTCGATATCAAGCAACGTGTGAATTTTTTGAAAATTGTTCTCTATTGACATTTCATTTCGAATAAAACTTCATCTCGACTGATATTGGAATTGAGGCCCAATCAAATGGTTTTGCTTTTCAGAGATGTTCGAAATTTGAATATCATAATAAAATCGAATTCAATGCTTATGAGGCAATAAAAACATTTTCACAGACAATAAATTTGTTTTAACAAAACAGTTTACCATTATGATGGTCGTCGAATATATCTTATGAAGAATTGTATTTGTGTTGAATAACCTAGGCAAAATAGTTATTCACAATGACACCTTCCTCCCGTTCTCCGTTTGAAAGAATTACTGTGAAATATGAAATTCTCGACCAAATCTAGAGACAACGTCCAGTATGATGCTCCATTCAAGAGTATTATTCATTTGACAGTAATAGTTCCGGGTGGAGAACGGGATAGGCCCCCAGAAGCCTTCGAATTCACTTAAGGCGCGCAAGAAGGTATACTCGTTTCAATCCATTTTAAACAAAAAGTAAACAAACAAGTCGCTGACGGTTTAGTGATGGCCAATTGTAATGCCAACTGAAATCGATGAATTGATTGAATGAATCGATTTGTTTATTTGAATCACATTAGCGGTTTTTCTTACACGAAAACAGTGAAAATATATAACCTATAAAAATATATATATCAAATTTACGAAATTTTAATTTTAAATGCTCCTTCAAACCCTTACGCTTAGATACTCGGTTGATTGTGATTGGAATTTTCGATTTACTAATCGATTACAAAAACTTTTATTGAATGGACCGAATGTTTTTTTCATACAGCGCTATGCAAAAAAAAATATTGTTGGAAAAAGTGACGAGATATCAAGTCGAAATCTTCGAAATGTACGCGAAAGTGTCACTTATTCGATTTATCGAGCGATCGCTTTAGAATTTGAACCAAACAAGTTTGTTTAGTTTTTGTTTAAAATGGATTGAACAGACGATACGAGACGTACTGTCGGAGAAGAGGCTGCAGCGCGTGAAGTCCAGGTCGCGCGAGGAGTCGCGCGTGGAGTCCAGGGTGGAGTCGGCGCCCCCCGCCGCCCCCGCCCCCGCCGCCGCCCCCGCGCCCACCCGCAGCGCGCGCGCCTCGCGCGAGTGCGTCTCGCGCCACGTCAGGATGCTCTGCGGGCACGGCGCAGACACCGCTAGTAGGGCCCGTGCGTTATCCCGCAGAACCGCGAGGCGGGTTAACGGACGCGTCACAATATTCCACGTACGGTCGTCACAGTGCGAGAGGAGATAGTATGCAACTATGAAGGCAATCAACGGAACAGGAAACTGACAATTATTACCTTCTTGGGTTAAAAACATACATTATTTAGTGAAATGCCAACTGTCGGACGGGAGATACTGACACGTCAAGAAAAGTGTAAGCCAGGACTACCACTACATACAAATGTATTGGCAAGATCTCTGGCCGACGAAAAGCATCTAGCTGGCTTGAGTCGTTTGAAAAAGTCAAGAATACTGGGGAGTTGAATGAAGGGAAAATGAAATTTAATAACTAAGAAAGAAAAGAGTCACAGGACTCTTTATTCCAAACGACATAAAACCTTAACGCAAAAAACTTTTACATTGTAAGAGCTTTTATTTATTAGAAATTTCTTCAAGTCCTTTAAAAAATATTTGTTGTTTGGTTAATTTTTTATACTCTCCGGAAGTCTGTCATATACTTTTATTGACGTGGTGCACGGGCTAGAGAAATGCCTATTTAATCTAGAATATGGTATTACCGATCTGTTTCTATTTCGAAATGCAAATTTCTAGTATATAGATACAAGGGAGAATCGGGATTTAGCGTTTGATAAGTAATCGCGCTATATTTGTGAGAACTGTAATGAATTCGTGTTGTGTGGCGAAGAGACCAGGCGCACCAGTTTTAAGGTGTGTTTTTGGAATGACTCACGTCGACGTCGAAGTCGGCGGGCACGTGCGTGCCGGGCAGCGCCTCGACGCCCAGCAGCGGGCAGCACCAGTCCATGACGGTGTAGGCCCAGCGCTTGACGCGCGACGACGTGCACTGCACGGCCAGCTCGCCCCGCTCGTGCATCTGCACACAAGTGGCCGTGAGCGGGGAACGACCCCCCGCCCCGCCCCGCCCCGCCCCGCCCCCGCGCCTCCGCGCACCTCGCAGCCCAGCTCCGGCGTGTACTTGAAGCTGTCCTTCTTCAGCTGCACCAGCGCCAGCGACTCCTTGGGGAAGCCCTCGTCGGTGCCGCCGGCCGCGGTGTTGGCCACCATGAACAGCAGCGTGTCCAGCTTGTATACTCGGAACTGGTTGTCGTCTTCGCCTGTTGCGACAATCCAACGAGCGCTGCTCAAAATTCGCAATACTTTGTTCCAAATAAATACGATACTACCTTGCGTATTACGGGCGGTAAATAAGGAACTACGAACGAGACTCTCTCAGAAACCCGAAGTCGAAGACCGAGGGCTTTCGGAGTCGAGGTTCGTAATTCCCGTACCGCCCGTCAAACGTACAATATTTTTCATCACGCTTGCACGTAAATATTATGATTGCGTGCAGGCTAACTCGACTACAATGCCCCGAATAAAACCCTCGAGCCTTTTTTCCTCATTGCAGCCACGGTCGTGTAATGAGAAAAAATGGCTCGTGTTGGGCGTAAAGGCGCATTATGCCCAAATTAGCTTGCAATCAATTATACTATTTACGTGCAAGTGTGATGAAGCGTACATGCGTGTAAAGTTTGGTATGAAGCAATAGTAACACTTACCAAAATAATATTCTGACCTGTCGTATTCAAAAAGGACTAACACGCGCATTCCCGCCTTCAGACTGACGTTCGCAACAAATTAATAAATGACAAGAATAAAGTAATAAATTCGCAGATATGCCAATCGCGTGCACAGCAGCCGACGTTTAACTATACTTAGACTATCCATTTTCGAAACTAAGCAAGAGTCCTATAACCGGATACCGAATACTCGGACAGTAATCATAAAAATATATAAGTATACATACAATAATTCAGTACCATCGGCTGGTATTGGTATATGGTAGTCCTTTATATTTGTATCTTTGGTTTAAAACCAAATTACTGCTCCGATCTACATTTAACCACATATTCATCCAAGACTTCAATTGCATGAACTCAAATTATCAGATCAGAGCGCCTTTGCACTATTCCGTCAATAGTGCAAAGGCGCCGAGGCCTCTGGACTGACCAACGCCAGAGCACAGGAACTGCAAGAAGTCCAGCACGGGCTCCACCTTGTCGGGCATAGTGAAGACGGGCGGCGGCGAGGGCATTTTCGCGTCCTGCTGCTTCAGGTAGTCGACCACGTTCGCCAGGACCTGTCACGGTGCCGCAGCGGGGTTAAGTTAATAATCAGTATGTTGTCAATAGGATATAACATAAAACAACCTTTCTGTCTTGTGTACAGTACCTGCATGTAGTTAGTAGGTTTGGAATGATCATCGGGCATTTCTAGTCCGTACTCCTGGCAGCCCAGCTTCACGTCCAGCGCGTACCCCACCGGAGGAATACCTACTCATTCAGAAAGACGCATTTCGTTAAAGATTAACAATCGTCACTAGAATAACCAACTAACTATTTACAAAACTGTATTACAAGAAATACTGGGCAAAGATATTGATTAATACCTGCACCAAAGGGTCTTTCTATTTTAGACATAATTTGTAAATTATGTATACTTACCTGGATTGATAAGCTCATGATATGTATTCTTAATGCCATCCTGCAGGGAGAACCGCAGCAGAGTGAACTCTCCTATGAGGTAGTGGGTGCTCGTCTTACAATAATAGTTCACGTCTATCAAATATATGTCCTCATTTGCGATACCTACATGAAAAATAAAAAAGATCTTGAAACTTTCAAAAAAGAAACAACTAGTGCTGGATACTCTGTGCACGTCTTCACTTTATGTATATCCACTACTCTAACACTTTGTTTTCCAAACTAGCAATACCTGTATTACTATTCTGGATTGAAGGCTAGCATTTTCTTAGACAGAGCAGTGGCAGTAAAGATGCTTTTTCAGTATATTGTTTAAAAATAAGTGGTTATCAATTGCCATCAACAAGCAAAATGTAATATGCAGTATATAGCTGAATATGCAGTTTTATACTAACTTTTATTGACACTTTTCTGCACAACAAAGTTATGAATGTCCTCTCGCTCAGCCTCCATGGCATCTTTGCGCTCTGCGTCTTGCTGCGCTATCTCCGCCAACGACACTCCGGTTGATGTGAACTTCTTCTCCGGGACATTCTGCTTCTGCTTTTGTACCTTCGCTATGGCTTCATACTTTGCTCGAAGTGGGGGTGGGGCGGACTACGCAAGTAATTTATGGAGCTGTTAGTTATTAATAATTTATCTATTTTACACGACTGTATTTTAAAAAAGGGATAAAAAGTTGAAATAATATGTTAAGAAAATGGAACACTAAGGTAATGACAGTGTAGATAAATATGGTTTATTAAAATAATAATTCAATAAAAGTCTTTTTTTATTAACCTATTATGTCTATATTTTTTGGTGAGCGGTTAAATACTACCCTTTTTGAACGAGATATTGAAACTAAAATACACTGTAAGTAATTATTAATACAAAGATCGAACACTCAGAAAAAATTCCTTCGATCCGGTCGGATTCGAACCAACGTCTTCTTGCATACCGTGCCAGACGCAAGCAAGAAGACGTCGGTTCGAATCCGACCGGATCGAAGGAATTTGTTCTGAGTGTTCAATCTTTGTATTAATAATTATAACAAACTAGTGGAGTAATTTCACAAAAAATAATTGAATATCAATACAATAAAAATTTAATTCATACACTGTAAGTTTTAAAATTTAGAAATTATTTTGACATAACATGGTACGCAGCAATACAGTCTTTTGGTTTGACAATTACAAGCGCAGAATACAGTAGTGTTGCGGGATGCCTGAGTTAGTGAAAACTATCAGATCGCGCAAATGTCGCAGGAGCAGAAGCCTACTAACATTTGTCACAGCTCTAATTTTAACAATAAAAAATGACATTCTATCATGTCAAACCAAACCACTGCAAGGTTCAATACAGTGTAATTTCATAACAACAAGTACCTTTTATCTGTGAATGTGGGAAATTAATATATTTGTTTTTCAATAGAAACAACTTACTTTGCAAAGTAAAACTATAATGGCAGTTAGATTTCTTTAATATCTTATGTACAACGTAAATTAAATGTATCTTTTTATGTTATTAATCTCAAAAATTGCAAAACGCCAAAAAATCTTTCACGCAGTTGTGTCTTGGTTTGACTTGGTAGATATAAGGTTTGGTCTCACATAGCTACATTTAATACAAATAAAAAAAAAAAGACATCAAATTATTCATGTTGGCAAAAAGCACAATTTTCGCTCTCTATAGTGCTAGAGATAGAGTTTAAATAATATTAATAATGGGGTAGACATGTATAGACTAAGAAATCACGAAATCAACAAAAAAAAAACTTATCGAGACTATTGTAGGTATAAATATATCATCAATAACAGTTTTCTTAGATGGACGTAATTTATCAGTCGGCTCGTAAACGAAGAAGAAAGCTTGAGGATTAAAAAACTGCTTCTATTAATAAGGGCTGTAGTAATAAAATCCTTTAAAATCTCACCGTCCAAGCAGGGCCGGCAGCATTTGCCACTTCTGCCATATTAGCATATACGGTGCCCTTCTTTCGTTGCTCTTCCTTGAAATCGATCATAAAATAATAAAAAGAATTTCTTGGTTGTTTTTTCGGCATCTTGATAAGCGATTTTTAGTTTTCTCCAAAGAGTCAGTAGCCCAGAACACTATACTGCCAGCACCACAAATTATAATTAATAGAAAGCTATCAGCACCGGCTACAAAATGAATTTGCGCCAACTTCAACTTCAACTTTTGTGTCTATGGCTCCGTCGTTTTGCGCGACGATTTTGCCAATGTCAGGGTTGCAAGACATGTGGAGCGATGGTGAATTTGCGCCAAATAAAATGTTAATCAACTATAGAGAATTACGACTTCGACCTTCGACTTCCATCACAAACTAACTAAACTAATAGAGATACTACGTATGGACTTCTATCGACTTTCATTAGGGATGAGTATAAATAAAATATGGATATATCAAAATAATCGATATATTTCAACGATGTTTTGCAACTCGAAATATGAAACATCGATAATTGTTTCGAGTATCAATTTCAATATGTTTAATCGCTGCCGCAGTAAGAGCTTTACGAATATTTGAAAATAATACCAATCTATCTTAGAGCACACCACACGGGTGGCGCTATCCACAGGCAGTCCCCTCTGTCAAAGTAAACGTAAATAAATACTAATTTTTAATCGATTTTTGTTTTCATTTCCATTATCGAATTCATCGCTGAAAGTGCTCCACGAAATAAGCTATGTTCACACTATGTTCATCGTACAAACCTGTAAAAATAACCCTGCTACATCCAATCTAGACAAGGATGGACTTGCGTTCCATATTATTATAATATTATATATATTTGTATCAAGGATCATATTGATTCAATTTATCGATTGTATTGAAAATATTAATTTCGAGTCATTCTAACATTTTGCAAATATGAAATATCGATATAAAAGGTCATATTGTAATATATATTATACGCTTAAAATTGGACCTTACGATTCACGAGAGTTTTTAGTGAACAAACGTAAAATATTGACATAAAACGGACAAAAATAATTGACGGGAATCCCGACTGGACTATCTACTATGCTGAACAGTTTCGACATCGAGAAAATTGGTTAGTCTACTTCGCATTTAACTCTGCTAGAAACCGCTTAAAAAACAATGTAACGATTTCTAGCCGAGTTGCCATAGTATTTTATTTGTATGAATACGGTATCTAAGTAACCATCAGGGTAGGCAGACACCACCGCCTCCACTAGCTACGATCCTGATAAATATCCATTGTCTCATTATCATGCATCATTGCTTTCATACACGCTCGTTGGTTAGCAGTAAGTGCTTTTACTTATTGTTGTTTAATAGTTTTTTATAACTTCAACACGGTCAAGCCTGTTAATTTAATTTCTCGAATTTACTTTAAAAGTACCTATATCTAATAGGTTACTACTGTCTTTGGGAAAAATATAAATATATCGGAATATCGATATATTTATATCGACAAATATCGGGACTGCTTGTAAATGTTATTACTGTGTGATATAGATATAGATAATTTTTATCAATCGTGCATTTCTAACTTTATTTTTTTTATATTTTGGCTTTGGCGGTCGACTATAAGCTGACGACGAATAGTAACAGTAGAGCTCTTTGCGTAAGGTGCTGGTGAAATTACAGGCACATGGGACTTGTCAACTTACAAAATGCCTCAGGCAGAGAACAAAAAGTAACGAGAATGGACACCCCCTAGCTTTAGATACCGCACCACGCCCCGCACATTGACGGTCACATTGACTGAACGGAAACAAGGTTGTAGGCCAGCCGCTTTCGTGCTAAGACGACTTTGATATTTGAATTGTAGTTATCATTTATTAATTACGAAACTTTTATAATGGTCGTGAGTTGTGCTATACACGGCCTTTTACCATCATATACATATACGGGATAAAGAGGTTTTTTCGTTTTCCGAAAGATGAAATGAAGTAATTAAAAAATTTTGTCTAAAATAAAAATACAATATTATATTAATATAAATACCTAATGTATATGTGTAATTATTAGGATTCATTAATAGAATTATAAATAATAGATTCCCGTTATAATTTTCGCAATGTTGCGGCTCTGACCACATACGAGAAAGTGATGGATGGGTAACCCTGCCAATTCACGCACACATTTGCGCGTGTGCAGACAGCGCCTTGCTGTATGTAGTACTAATATGTAAATAACTTTCGACTAAAATTATATCTCAGGGTGACGGGCGCAGTGACTGCAACTTAAAGATGTTTGCAGATGTTTGCAACTTAAAGCTCTGCGTGGTACTGTAATTGTTACCATCATCAGGCGCACGACGACACGACTCATAGAACTGATGGCTCTTACTGGTAGACTTCTTGAAGAACGTGACACAAATGTAATGGAAATCCAAGCGCTCAAGTCTTTAAATTTAACATTGAAGGGAAAATTTGATGAAATTATATGATTTTGCGAAAAATTAGAAAACGTATGCAAACTGAAGGAATCAGCTATTGAGAGTTTCGGCAAAATCAGACTGGTACATAAAGACGCTCTAGACCGCATCAGATTTCTGGACACACAGCTAAGGGAATCAAATGCTGAAATCGCATTATTTTATAAGCAAAGTCGAAGATACGACCACCTATCGACATTTTCACTTCGTGAGGAACTAGCGAAATTGGACAGGAATTTATGCGACATTAAACTATGTGGCGTCACAGAACTCAAGATTTTCAAAATTGAACAAACAGGTAAGAAAAAACTACACCACTTGAGAAAATAAAGTCGGTGAAGTCAAATCTACACAAGCACAAGATGAAGATGGCCGAACAGGTGAAAAACCTACTTACTACTTATCAACAACTGAAGGGACTGTCAGCTGCAACCGACGACCTTTTGAAGTTGGGAACTGAGTACAAAGAACTTACTCAAGTTCTTTTACAGGATGGATGAACTTAGTGACTCGGACGAACTAGTTGAGTTTAGGCAGACTCCATCCCCACTGCCTATATCGTCAACTCAACCAGTACGAGCTTCGTATGCTAGTGTTGCTACCAGGAAACGAAACTGTTGAAGTTCAGTGCCCTTATCATGCAACCAAGATTAACTGAACTCCCACCAGGTAATTCAGAAGAATGATTGTTTTTTCGGATAAAATAGGTATAGGACTAGGCCACCATCTAAGTAACCATTTACAGCAAAGGGTAGTCAACTATTGTTATCCAGGAAGTACTTTTAGTCAATTTATCATACTATTAAGCGGTCACAACTGCGATAAATTTACAACTGTGATTCTTATGCTAGGTAATAGTAATAACATCAGTAAAAAGGAAATAAATAGTAGCATTTACGTGTTCTTGAGAATACATGAGAAGTTTGGGTGTAAATTCCTGCTAAGTGCATTCCCTTACTGCTCTGATTTAGGCACTACTTATAAATGAGTATATAAAGAATTTGTGATACAGTCAAGAGCACATCAAGCTTGACACTTTGGACTTTGGACCGTTCTTGTTGCAAGCGGCATAGAGTTAAATCTAAACCTTTAGTGTTAAGCTTGACGTGCTCTTGACCCTGTACTAATACCAATAGAAGAAGGAAGAAGATATGACTTGTCGAATCTTTGACGCCTCTAAGTAAATGTCAAACGATTTAAGCCAAAGCCTTAATAAATAAAAAATAATAATCATTCAACTTCATTCAAGTCTAAGCCATTCATTCATTCCATTCAATGTCATGTCATTGCTCCGAAGCTCGACTGACGGCTGACGGCTTGTTCCGTGCGGATTTTTTGTTTGTGCTGTATGAGACTATAGTGTAGATTATAAAATCAAATAGTTTGTGGCTTGTTTGTTTAAAAATTATACTGAGTGAACCGTGTAAAATTAAGGGATATTATTTTGAAAGTGTATTATGGTGAGTGTTTTGAAACTTATGTTCTTATTCGACCTATTCGTGTTTGCCGTTTGTCTTAATACACTTCGTTATTTCCATGTTACCACGGTTTAATAAGTTTTGAATCTACATATTTGGCTGTATGAACCTGAACCTGTGAAGAATGGTCGAGAATGCATGGATTGATTGTTTGATGCGGATGTGTGTGATCGTGATTTGTCAGAATGAAATAGTTGCGGTTAGATATTATTTAAATGGCCAATATCCGTAGACAGGAGACGGTGGTCGGCGGTCGTCCTCGTATGTAAATCGGCCTGCGCCGCCGCCGGGGACTGTTGGCCCAACAGTGTTGGGTCCGCATGGCCACTGCGGCCACTCTGTGACCAGCATCATAACAGCATAATTATAGTCTTGTGTACTTTGTCCAGACCATTTCGTTAGTTTTTTTGCAGTTTATCCACTGATCTCATGTTGGACGGCTTTAATTGAAGGGAACTCTATGTTGTGAATATTTATCAAAGCTATTAATTTTTTGTGAATGTAAGTAGATCATGTTTTTTTAAATTCTCAACCTAAATACTAGTACCAAATGTTAAAAGTATTATTAATCGTTTAATTTAAATGGTATTTTACGATTTAGACAAATATTGGAAAACAAAATTAGCTACAAATGCTGTAGTTGATTTTTTTTTCTTTTATAATATGGCAGACAACCACCAGGGAATATTAGGGAATTCTCTGTACCATTTTTATCAGCATACTAAAAGTTAACTCAAGTGTCCACTATTCAGAAACACCAAATCAGAACCAATTTAAATTTTTTTTCTCTAAATTGGTCCTACTGGGGTTCAACAAGGAGCCTTCCCATTAAACACCCCTAGTGCTAATTGTAAGGCCTCTAAGGTTGTAAAATTTGTTTAGTTATAAATGAAACTATTTTTTTGGATTCAAATCATGAATGTCATGTGTTCTGTAAAGAGCCTGAAACATTGGTTTATTTAAAAACACATACATATGGTAGTAATAAATAGTCATGAATATAAATTAATGTAATAAGTCAATATTTTTATATTTATTTTTATATACATATATTTGGTGAGCTCTGCAGCCTTTAGGCAAACATGGAGTCTGTTTACAAACAATGATATTCAGTAATGTCAAGTATTTGTCATTGTCACCATGTTGTTAGCATTGTTATGAATTTTGACATAATTCGTGGTTTGACATCAAATTTAACATTGCTGCTGCCTAAACATTGGTGTTCTTGATCAATATTAACTGACAACATTGAAACTGGCATTAGCCTAAGTTTAGGGGCCGCCATTAAGGAAAGAATAATAATAACCTCTATATGATGCTGGTGTAATCTAAAAAGGGCACTGCCAATAAGCTCAAAGAAGAAGAAGAAGAAGAAGAAGATTACCAAATACAAGGAATATAATTGTTGGTAACAAAGTCATATCATATTATTATACTATTATTTTAAAATAATAAATTTAAAAAAAATATTACAAACTTTATTTAAACTTTAAAATTTAGTCAAAAACAATTTTTACATTTCTACACATTGGTCTTAATTTTTTAAACACCGGCGCAAACGCCCCTTGAGTTATAATAATAATAATGGTTTATAAGTTTGAAGATTTTGTCTGTATATCACAAAGCGATGTATATGTAACTTCCAAAGGGAATTGATTGATCTCAAAGTTATTTTTTAATTTGAAGTCTGATTTAATAGGAATAGTTCTAAACTATGATTGATATTTTCTCAATTGGTGTTGGAACTGGGTTGGAATCTCAGGCATAAAATGAATGTTTATTTTATTTCCCCATGTCTGATATTTGGAAATTTGGTGTACTTTGAAAATCCAGTTTTAAATAGTTAGTTTAAATTTAAATTTAAAAAAATAGTTCTTATAGTAGTTTACAGTATCAAACATGTACCCTGTAAGGGCGTAGCAATGTCAATTTTTTAAATACACATTTTGATTACCATTAATTAAAATATCATTATAATGGTAATTAAATCTAAACAAATATTTTCTGAAAAGTCAATGAATTAATTGGAAAATGAATGTCAAATTGAAGTCTAAAGTATTTCAAAAAAATTAATCGTCAAATTATTCTAGAATTATATAATAATAGTCATAACATTTGTCATTTTATTAAATTACATAATTATGTCATATTTTTTATAAATATAGTTAACATATCAAAATTCCTTTTTTATGAACTATTACTATTACTATTTAATTAACTATTACTATTACTTACACGGTAACCTTGGTGTGGCTATCGGGATGCTGTAGACTTCCCAACTCCTCTACTGCTTACTGTAGAACTATTGGTTTGGTGTCATGAAACTGGTCACAACAAGTTGTTACCTTATGGATGGTGACTTTTTTGGAAGACATTGTTTGGTGTCAGTATAAAAAACAATATTTTAGTCAATAATATAATTTCCCTAGGCAATATGTAGCACATTTACATAAGCACATCTTTGTGGATATTAAAGTAATGATAATTTGTTAAATAGTAATGAAACAAGTTTTTTACTTAACATTTTAGTTTTATTAATTGATTATTTCGAAGTCATCTGATTGATGTAATAGTTTTGGGAAATGTTTTTTAATTATTGCATATTCACCATTCTCACTCTATTAATTAATATATTAAGGGTTGTAGACAGATATTTGTTTCCAATCTTATTTCTTGCTTGAAGATACACTTATACATTTTGCACATTCATAAAATGATTTTTTCTTATAATTTTGACTAAATCTGCAATTAGTTATTGAACTGTAAACAGATCTTCATCTGTACTATAGTTATAGAAATATAATGCAAGGATATATCTTGTATTTAATAGTATAACACCTCTGTGTCACAATTTCATCTTACATAAAACAGTAACAATTTTATTATGATATGGAAACTGAATCTCCATAATATGGAAGAAATGGTATTAGACCCAGTTTCTGCATTAGTCGGGTTATATCTTTTTATTTAAATAAATGTAAGTAGAACTATGCTGGTATTGTTTAAATACAGATAAAAACATTATGCACCACATTTGAATGTTTATTGTGGTACAATGAAATAATCATATTCCTGTGTCACATATGACATTTTTTAAATTGCATGTTATTGACGATATTCAAGTACATATAATAGGTAATTATTTAAAAAATGGAATTGTATGCGAATGCAGTACATTTACAATTTACATTACATATCCCAAAATTATATCTTATGGTTCTGTTGAAGAAATGGCTACATAGTAATAATAGCTATTATACTTAAGTCACTGTTTTGTGATGTCACTGTAATTTTGTGTGCAATAAAAAATATTTCATTAATCAATTAAAATAAGACGTACACATTGTCACTCCCTTGGTTACGAGGCTGTGTAGACCTCTATTCGTCAGTTTTGCTTGAATGCAGTGATGCGAAAGGGTTGCTGTACCATTAATTATTTGGCGGAGGTGCTGGTCAGAAGTCTGTAATCATTTTCGAAAAAATCCATTGACGAAAAAATATATAAATGACTAGGTAAATTACATACTCCTAAAAATTTTAAAATAATACCTTTGTTTTTCACTGAATAACAACAAACGTTTTATTTCAAATATAAAATTGTGACTTTATGTCGCAGGTAAAAGAAGGTAGGATATTTTATATAGCAACTTTGTGTTTGCACAGAGTGTGCTAAGAAATACAGCGAATAAAAACAGACTTTTGCAGTTGTAGAGCTCTTGGTGAACGAGTTTGTCCACGGTAGTACTGTCATCGTACATATTTCTGCCGCCAAATAGTAATGTGAACATTGCCGCGTCCCGGTTCTGAAGGGTAACAGGGTGCTGGTGTGACAGGCTAATGGGATATACCAACTTTATGTGTAGGGTGTCTGTGTGGCAATGTAACTGTAATCAGTAGTCATGTCACAGATTACTTTCGAGTGCTTATACACGACGACTGTTAGTAGCGATGCAAACGCGCGTTCGTGAAAAGTGCGAAAGGAAAGCGTAAAATCAATGACTTAGGAAAAAGTATATAGTCAAATTGAGGCTATAGGTACATTGATTACTATATGGTATGAAAACTTAAAATGCTTAAAATTTTAACGATAGAAAAAAAACACAAACTTATCTCGAAATTTTACAAGAAAACCGCTGTATACTTTACATATTACCAATGATTTTTTTTATATCAACTGAACTAAATAGAACACGCATAGTATACGATATACCTTTTTACAAATGACATTAATTTAGTTTGTAAAAAAATGAATTCTGATTTCAGAATTATATCATATCATATTTATGGCCAGTGTCCTTGCCGCTCCCACCCAAGCAAAATGAACCATATTAGTACGGGAAAAATTTTAATTCGTGCTGAGGTAGATAATATTTCGTTTTTATAAATATATCTTACGGCACGTATAAAGGTTTGCATTTTCCAGTTTTTTTTACAACACCAAATGACATGCAAAGTAGCCGATTCTAGCAAGGAATATGTTATATTTTTATCCGTTAGAATCTTACAGTTAGATAACATTTTAATGTAAAATAACACAAAATGTCTAACCATGTTTTTTTACTTACAACAGTTTCGTCAATCTGTATATGTCAAAATGTATATGTATGTATGTACACCGGTCTGTTGTACGAAATCACTTTTAATTAAATTATCAAATCGTAACTAAATGATACAAATTAATGATGTGGTACAAAAATTACATCATTAATTTGTGTCATTTAGTTAATTTTAACTAGGTACAGTCACCATCAGAAGCAGCTTAATAGTTTTGTTATTGTACTCTTTCACAAACATTCATGACAATATAAAAAAAACAGTCGTGTATCTCCCACTAAAAACATAAATGAATGTGTATTTTAAGAGGATTTATTACACCGGCAAGTCATTTTAAAGATATTGCTTCGCTTCAATGTTAATAAATTAGGAAACAGCCGTACTGCTCGGCGGCTTTCGATCATAACTGTAGGTAGTAAAGCGTGAATCGTTTATTTAATAGAGACCCGGCAATTGGCATTATTGTCTAGCTCATTTATCTCTGCATTGTTTATAATTTTTACTACTTCGTGTGAAACAGTTTCGTGATTATTTTGATCCATTTACACATAGAACGCCGTATCTCACTTTGTTGTAGCCGGGTATTGCGACCAACGTCAACAATTAGAATAACTGAAAATAATCACAGGAACTATAATAACAAGAAATTACAAAAAAACAACCACAGAGCAATTTGTAATTTATAATAATAATAGCTTATTATAATTTTAGTAATACAGTAATAAAGACAAGGTCGGTGATCCAACGGTTTCCACTGGGGCCACTGGACGATGGGGTCCTGTGTTCGTTTTTCCGGTAGAACCAATTTATAAATGAATTTTTAAAAATTGTTTCTGGTCTAGATGTTAAGGATGTTCTGCCCCGGAGTTAATTCTGTTGTTCTGGTACTCATAGTACAGGGAAGTCCTTAATGTGGGACAATGTAATTGGTGTGGTCTGGCACATTAATCTTCTCCTATTATTATTTTAATAATTCGTCATAAAATTTTCTATGATTATTATTAAATCTTTTACGAATTTCTCTAAATACTGTAGTTATAATGTTTGTTGGTAGGTCAATGTGGTTAAAGATTACACTGTATGAAAAATCAGTACCCGCGAAATAGATAGTATATAGGTATGTATGTAGCAGTAGATCTCGTTGTGAGAGAGTCCGTCCAGGGAAGTACAAGTACTGCCACCTTACCTATTTCTGCCGCCATGCAACATTCCTGTGTTCCGGTTTTGAAGGGTAAGGGTTCTGGTGAAATTACAGGCGCATGAGACTTATCAACCTGTCTCTGGGTGAGACGGGCGCAGTGGCAGTGCCCCTCAGATCTTTGTTTATTAAAGCTCTGTTATGGACAGGCGTGTTGCTTACCATGAGGCGCACAACTTGTTCGTCGCTTGACTTGATATCATTAAAAAAAATGTACATATCTTACTTATTCCTGTCACGTTTAATTTTTGAGGTATCGGCTGATATAATTTTAATTATTTTCGATTTACGTATAATAATTGTAATACGTAATGCAGTAGACGGAATCTGTTCATTTGATACTGGTCTTTATGTGACGAATTACCTGAGAACGGAATTGTATACTTTTGCAAGATGAATACCGAAATAAGCCATCATCGCGAGTGCAAAATTTCACCAAACTAGTTTTGTTATCTGTATGGACAATACGTTATGTTCTATTCCTTGAGATAAGAGTATTTGACTAAGTGCGAAATGCGTATTCCCTATAATTTGGGCGTATTATGTGTCAAGATGAGTCTTGGAACGCTCTTGTCTTGGCAGAATAGACATAGAACATTTATACCATTGGCAGGATCCGAAACTGTGCCGTGAATCGAGTAATTCCTACAACGATTGCAAGACCACTTCGGTGGTCAAACGGTTTGCACTGTTGACGCTGGATGTTAACGCTGGTCTCGGGTTCGATTCCCGATACGACCAATTTGCATTGGTAAAAGGCGCGTATCTTCACGAGATCAAATTTTAAAGGAGAGGGTTTAAACGCTATTTCTTTGTTATTTTAATGGCTACGATTTTCATTTTTGCACAGTAACCATTAATTTACGTTATTTACAGACTGATAACAATAATAGATTCCATTACATTAGGCTAATTAGGTTGCCAGGACGTTTAAATGGCAACTTCATAACGTATGCTAGTCACGCGCAATTTTAGACGATATGGTCGAGGTGATCTAGGTAGTTCCCCGGAGGTGTAGTTGTCAAGCATATTATTTTTAACATCATTATCATGAAGATCACTGTAAGCTGTTGTAAAAGGCTTTTTAGGTAATCAGAAAGTTGGCACTCTCAGTGAATAATTTGTTACACGCATATAGACAGATGCGCAAACATCTGAGGGGCAGTGCCACTGCGCCCAACACTCTGGAGCATAAGGCACCTTGAAAACGACACCGTTCCTAATCGAAACTCTCGCTTTTTCAAATTTAGACTCAATTTCAGAAATTTTAATGACTCTTTTCTCATAAGTTGACTTTTTTGTTAGTGACACTATCGATTTAAACGTGCGATAAGTTGACTTGCCGGCAGAAATTAATAGTAAGGTCGCAGTACTTTCTTGGACGAACTCTTTCACAAGGAGCTCTAATGCTACTAAGTATCTAAATTAAATGTAGGTAAGTTAATTATAGTTTTTTAAGTGGTGTAATACGCGCTACACAGAGCAATACAAAATAACAGTAAGGAAATGCCGTTAATTGATTTGTACCTATTGATTTATGTAGCTTTTGGACAGGTGCGTGACTATAGCATTTATAGCGTTCGTACTGATTTTTCACATTAATAATCTGGTTGTCGGTATAAGGAATGTAGTTCAAAATTACGCAACACCGCGGGGGTCCAATAACTTGCCAGCTATTGTAACATTGTTAATGCGCAGCCGGAGGGCCGGAGTGGCGCGACGAGTCCAATGTCACTTGTTTTGATATGATAACTCGTGCGCTAGGCCCCTCTAGCCTAGACGTTACACACATTTTATATCACATCTTATAGTCGAATCGGAGTGTTCTGGACTTGATAATGTCTATGTGTTAATGTAATGTGTATGTGTACTGCTGCTAAGTTATATTTTTAAAATGTATTTCATCAGTTTCGGCAATTCAGGCAATATTTTATTTTATTGAAAATGTTTTACTACCATAATATTTATATATATTTTTCGTGAAAATATTCAACTATACAAATATCGAGTAAATACGTTAAAAATCCTTCGATCTGATTGAACACGAACTAGGGACTGTGGAACTAACCACATCGGGGCTACCGCTCTTACCAACTGAGCTGCAGACCGAATCAGCAGATCTTATGAATTTGTGTATGTGCTTGTTACGGTTTTTATATTCGATTTAAACGGCTTTTGCTGTTAGTGCCATCTGCGAGGAAATATGAAGCTTTTTCACTCAAAGAAAACTTAAACATCAAATTTTGGCTTATGGATTTTTTTTATTTTTGTGTTAAGTGTGTGCTACACGACGCCAGCACCAACCTTTTGTTTTTTTTTCTGTTTGGTCCTGTGGTTGACTGGTAGATAGTACCGTATTGAATTTTGCAAAAAATATTATGAATAAATAAATATATAAATAAAGTTGTGGCAGAGCTTGCGGTAACAGACGCTGGTTAGAATAAATTCGGATCGAAGGCATTTCATAAGAATAACGTATTTTCGGTTGACCACTTGACATCGTAAGCTGTAGCTGCTGTCAAACTCGTTTTATCACAGTTATTTTCATTTACAAAAAAAAGGAACACGTACTAACGTTCACTTTTGAAAGTTGATGCTCTATACATGATTTTTTTTGTAGACTAAAGGTGCGATGAGCTGGCGGACGCGATGACGGTGTCGTAATGCTGCAGTGGGGTGCGCCGGCCACCGCCAGGAACTTCGCGATGTTTTACCTCGCCAGGTGGAAGCATGTGGCCGTCGTCTTGCTCTTCATCTGGATTCTCGTCACGTACTTGGTCATTTCACCGCTCAGGTACCAGTTCTTCCTTGTTCATTCGCTTTACAACGCGCTCCGAAATTTAAACTAGCGCACTCGGAAATTGAGCGAATGGAGCACTTTATGCCTTAATCCTTAGTTTCCCTAAAGTGGTCCCTACCGCCACCCATTGGGCGCTGAAGAGTCCTAGGGGTAAGCAATCGGAGAACGTTGATGCTAGCCAGAGGGTGCTACCGCATTTGAAGAAAAAAACCTAAAGGTATCTCAACGTTGAAATTTTTTTATCTTGCCTAAGTGGGCGGTGAGCCAAAAAGTGTGGAATCTAAGGCCTTAATGCGTAACCAGAACGTCTCAAGACAGGGGCGTTTGGCTATTCATCGAGGCGTTCTGGTCCCAACCCTAATGTATGGCAGTGGGTGTTGGGTACGGCAGAAAAAACGTGAAAGTAGAGTGAATGCTGTACAAAAGAGAGCTATAAGCAATATGCGATGTAAGTCTTTAAGACAGAATGCCAAACAGTGTAGTAAGAGAGCGTTGTGGTATGAATAACGTGACCATACTTCCCGCTTTGAGCGGGACAGTCCCGCTTTTAAGCCTAGTGTCCCGTTATCCCCAAAATACTTAACAATATCCTGCTTTGCTTAAACAGGACGCACATGACATTAATTTTAAAAAATAGCGCGAAAGCGAAAAATATATGAAACCAGCTCACCAGACTACACAAGATTAGTTATTTTTTGTAATTATTGATCATAAAAAAATTTTAGTTCTTTTTTAAAATTTTTTAATCATTGAACATCTTGTAACTATCATAAATATGTGTTTAATTTTTAAAACAATACTAAATGTGCAGGCGTCCCGCCTCTGGGGGGAAAATAATGGTCACGTTAGGTATGAAGGCATCAATGGTTTGGTCATGTAGCAAGAATGAATGTTGGTGGATTGACGGCACAAATTTATACAGCGAATCGGCGTACATATCTCAATCAGATTGGGATATCCTTGAAGAAGGCCGGGTTAAAGTGCCAAGAATGAACGGGCATGTATGGAGAGATTAATGGGAGTGGAGGAGGCGAAGGAGGTTTGTCAGGAGCGTTGCAGATGGAGGTCATAGCCTCTGCCACCTCGGTAGGAGACAGGCGTGATGCTTCTGCTGAGAATGGTAATATGCCAGAAGAAAATATAAATTCAGAACATAGTCACTTGATACAGCTTAGTAAAGAAGTAAATATATTACAGGTGTAGTGGAAATCCAGATGAGGTGGCGGAGTACCAGGCACGGCTGCGGCATGTATCCACGCAGCTGGATACCCTGCGGCAGCAGCACACGAATCTCATTGCACAGATAAAGTCTTCGGGGTATGTAACATAATATTATACACTTTATGACAGTGTACCCTATAGATTACCATTTGTTGTTGACCTACCTACTACCTACCTAGTACTGAGGATTCTTGTTTAAGAGCCGGGCACAACTTTTTACAAAGTCTTCACACTTACGATCTTTCAAAATTGATATGTTCCAAGTATGTGAAAAGAGATAGCACGAGCGATTACACACGGCGTCTTTTAGTTAGCAGCGATGCAAACGCGATGCAAATACGATGCATTAGCGATGCAGTCGCTAATCGTTTACCTTTACACACGCGCGCGATTTTAAGCAGCCAACGCGATCCAAGCGCGCGACAGGATCGATACGAACGCGCGTTTGCATCGCTACACTTGGGATTTATAGGCGATTGCATAGATGCAGTTGCGCGCTTGTGTCGATGTAATCGCCTATAAATCGCAAGTGTAGCGATGCAATCGCGTTCGGAACGCGTTTGCATCGCAACTAAATGTCACCGTGTGTAACTACTCTTAAGGGACGAATAACCTCGCAAATACATTTTCATCACACTTGCTCGTAAGTAGTTGTATAACGTTGAGCAAAACTAGGCGGTATTTTGATTATAGGGCGGTAAAGGGTTTTTGTTTTATTTCTGCTCCCGCCGCCGCCACCCACTTGGGGCGTGAAGTAGACCTCGCGCCAAATTCGCGCCGTGGTCCAGATTCGCGCCGTGGTCCCGATTCGCCGTAGATTTCTTGATTTAATTTAAAAAAAGTACTATAAATACTTAATTCCTTTTTTTATATATCATTTTTGTAAAACACATACTCGTAAATATCATGAGTATATAAATAAATAAAGAGTACGTTTTATATACGTATTGCCAAAGCAAAATGTTTTAATACTCAAAAATGCCCTTTCTACTTTGCTGTGCCCTTACAGGGTGTCACAAGTACACTTACAAACCACTGTACGTACATTATCAATAAGTGTGACAATGCAATAAATAAATAAATAAATAAATGTTTGTTCCTTATATAAGATTTATTTGTGAGATACTTAAAAGTTTGTAAATATGACATGAATAAACTATAACGTTATTAAGTCTAATTTTCCTTTTCGTCTTCGACTTCTTGGCAAGTGTGATGAAAAACATTGTATGTCACACAGGCAGAACAGCAATTACAAACCTTCGGGCCATTAAAGCCCTCTGTTCGTAATTGGCGACTTACCGCCCTCGTGACACAATGTACTATTACTTGCCTAATAATTCACAAATAAACATTTGCAGCCCAACAAGAAACGAACCAGTACAAACGACTAGGTAAGATTTGCAGTATAAAGCGTAAAAAATGTGTATTGTTCTTGTCTATCAATAGGTGTTTGTAAGTGTAAAACACGATGAAATATTCACATTTATTGTACTCACAGGGTAATGCACAAAGGAACTAATAATGGGTAAGATGAAAAATAAATTCTATCTAATCGTAAACTATTGTTTGAATTGCATATTTAGTTGTATGTAATGTATGAGGTAATAACTTCGTTGGCGCTTCAGTAATGTGAAGACGTGATAATCTAATCAGATAATCAGCGTCATAAAAAACCGACATCACGAGTTCGTGGAATTACATCTCTTTGCCAAGTTTTATTGAAATAGGTTTCCGGATTCCACACCTAGTTTGCCACCCTTAGAAGTGGAATATTTCCTTCAGTTTTAAACGCGACCACCCTCTGCACCTGAGGTAACCCTCTTTCGAACAAAAAAAGAATAATCAAAATCGGTTCACGAGTTATCGCGTAACATGCGTACAAAAATTTTGAAGTCGGTTAAAAACGGTCAAAATTCCGTCTTATATCCAGATGGCGCTGATCAATTGCCTGGAAGTAGTTTATGTTTCCGTGGATGTCAATTAATTCCTTTTTAATATGAAATATAAGTCAGTATTTTTCCTTGTAACATTATTCAAATATAAATCATGAGTTAAAATTGTTTTCTAAACTTTGACAAATATGCGTATCATAGATGGCATTGTGTGTTACAAACTAATTTATAAATTAACGCTTCATAATATAGTTAGATGGCGCTAATTCTAAACAAAATAAAACAATGGCTGGCACTATCCATAAGAATCTGTGCAATAAGCGCCCTCTAGTTAATGTGTTTAAATCACTAGAAATTAGAGAAGCTTTGAGCTTGTCAACGTAAAACTAATTAGCAATGGTCGGTAAAAGGTGTTTCACATATTATATAGATACAAGGAGCGACATAGAGTTGATAAAACCACCAAATATTAATTAATTACTGTTTCGAATTCCGAATTTCCGGAAGTGGTTTTACTGTATCGTAGGACAAAACTACTGACCTAGGAAGTCGAAGTTCGATTTTAAAGTAATTCTAATGGTGCCACGTAAAAATGCAATAGATAACTGACCTTTACTAAAAAAACGGAGAATAACGACTGCGTTCATAAATTCAAATCACTAGCAGAAATATCGTATTACTGCTTGTCGCTTAAACAACACGAAGAAGTGCCATTTTAGACGACCATTTATCTTCATAAATAGAATGAAGAGAGGAGTTTCTTTCATCCGGAATTCGAAAAAAGCAATTATTTAATATTTGGTGGTTTTGAACAATTCCATTTATGTGAAACACCTTTTTAGGACCATTGCTAATTAGTTACAATAATAGCTATTTGTAACTCGTCGCGACACCTGGTGTACCAGTAGGTACTAAACACCCGGCTACGCCATCTTGTATTTCGATTAGCAATCCACCTGTGTTACTGGTCAATGGTGTTACTGTGTGTTTGGATATCACTTTTGTGCACAAATTTACCTGTATGTAAAGACACTTTTGTCACTTGTATATCGGTATCCTGTATACCACACAGTAAAGGGAACAAGCTGTCACTTTTCGATCTTGTAAATTAGAACCCCTATCAGCCTGATTTAATTTAATACCCCTTGAGTTAATAAATATTTATGTCTGCTGAATTCGTCATCACCATTATTAACCAATGTAAGCGACTCTTTTATGGGGAACTGTATACGTTTTTACAATCAAACCCCGGAGCATATATTAAGATTATCATTTCCTAAGCTTAAAAACTACATTCAAAATATTTTTATTGAAAAGTCATATTACAAAATTGAAGACTACGTGTTAGATAAAGATGTACTAAAAGACGCCATGGCTCCAGAATCCACACAAATTGGATTCAAAGTGTATTCCATAACATTCGAAAAGAGCAATCCCTAGAGTTTCTTGCTCGTTCTTCTCAGGGAGGTCAGCGTAGTGAACGAGCAGTAGCTTAAATGTGACGTTTTCAAGTGAAAACTTATTTTACCTATGGAATACATGATTCTTTCACTTGACTTGATTTTGTTTTTTCAAACAAACTAACGTTTCGGGTTCTTTACAGGTCCCAGGGTCACGGCAGACTGAGATGGTAAAGTCATCAACAAAAATAGAAGTGGCTTAAGTCTCAATTACTATCAGTCCCGCTGTCATCAAATAACGCACGTTCATAATTTGAAAGACTATGAAATCTTGATAAAGATTAGTCGCAGTTTTAAATTTATAAAGAAGTAACAAATTCTAGACTGTTATTATAATTGAAACTTTATCGCGCACTTATGCAGATCTACTCTATTGGTCTGTGGTTAATGCACACCACGGTATTCTGAACTATCTTATCTATAAAAGTTATTAATTTAAATACTTTATTACACAAAAAAAAAATAGTTTCATTTCCGATGTGTAGCAATAAAAAAATAAAATCGTGATAAATCTAATTATTATTTTTTATGATTCAACATGGATTCAACCTATGTTATAATCAAAATAAACCTTGGCGAGCATCTAGTCTAGTGAACTATAACGTCAGTCCAAAGGTCCGAGAACTCATTGAGTCAACAAATCTCACGGTCAATCATTTTCCTGGCCCGTGTATGAACATGGCCATGAGGTCCATGGTATCTTGATAAAAATGTATTTCGGTCCCTTTAACCTTGTGACTCTAACCGAACAGCTTATAGCTAGTAAACAGCATCCGGCAAAAATATTAAATATTCTAATATCTCGTAATGAACGATCAGAGCGGTAGTAGTTGGGAAAATTGTTACTTTCCAAATGATGTACAGTCAACAGCAAATCAAGCAATACAATTTTCTTCGGAAGTCACTCCAGAAGAACCGAAGATCCGCATCAAGTACCTGTAACTTTAGTTCCATATCACGATAATATCCGGCATCTCGAAGAAGGTTCACAACTCTTGGAAAACGTGTCAAGTCCCCAATACGTATTGATCCAGCATGGCGGGCTATGCCGAGACTCTTATAGGGAGACCTGTGCACAGCAGTCGGACGAATGATTTATTCATGATGATGATGATGATGAACAGTTCTAACGCTTGTGTGGTTTGAAACCCGTTTTTAAATGTGTAAACACGTTTTTGTGCAACTGAAGTACAACGACATGACCACTATGTTACACTACACTGGTAATCTCGAAGTGCCCTCACCATGTCGTCGGGGATAATGCAAATCCGCGTATGTAGTATATTGTTAAAGACGCGTATCTGCACCAAACCAAATTTAAACGTTATTACTTTGTCATCCAATGGCTACGACTTTCAATTTTGCACAGTAAGCATTAATTTATGTTGTCTACTAATAACTATCACGCTAATTTGGTTGCCACGACATTTACGCGGATTTAATTTGACCACTAAATTACTGAAATGGAGATTCGTAATCAAATGCTAGGTACGCGTAAAGTGCAATTACCAATTATAATCCCCGACAATATGCGATGTATGTGAAAATAGTATTGATTGTGGTCCATGTATTCTATAAACGATAATACTAACAGATGTTAGGTATTATTGTAAGATTGCTAAAAAAGAAATGAAAATAAAAATTTTTGCCTTGATCAGTTCACGTGAACATGCAGAAAATGGAATTAGTTTTTTGACATTTCAATTAATGAATAAAAAAAAACATACATATAATTATATTTTTGAGATCTTTTTTTGTAAAATTACTGCACTAGTTTTAGTTAGATATGACTATTAATGCTTTCTATGTGATTTGTGTGTGAATAATATTTTCTATGTGGAAAAAACATTCAACACAAGCGCAGCTATTTTGCACGATTTAACCATCACTGGGTTCGCGGAGTAGCAAATTAATTTACTTCCATTTTTATTAACATGGACTTCCACAAAGTAACGCCTGAATGTATTAATTATTTTCTATGTGTGCGATCGGTCCTTGTATTAATAATCGTACATTATATGGTTAAAGCACAGTATGATGTTGCACAGTTGATTTACGTGACACTTTATTTTTAAATCTTTTCAGTTTTCTATTACCAAAAACTGTTATCCGTTCGAATATATTCTGTATTCGGATGATTAATTTAATCGCAAAAAAGGGGGAAATATAAACTTGGCCGTGATTTAAATCGTTCAAATAATTTTATGAAATTTTACTGCCTGTTGTATTTCGATGTCGAATTACTTGCGTACAAAGAACAATTTGTGGGCGCCATTATAATAGTTTCACCTAATAATTACTATGGTATTATCGCCTGAAATACTTAAATTTTGACAGACTTCGTCTGATTTCCAGACCTCTACGCATTATATCACACAGAGAGTTTCTCCAAACTTTATGTTCGCTTTTTCGGTAGAGTTTAACCATCGTGACGATTTCAAGTGTAATAATGCTTACCTGTAGCAATTAATTATTATAGGAGTCAGATTTATTCATTCTTTATTTTTCAGATTCTTGAATGATATATTCTTCCACAATAAATTGTTCCATAGATTATCCTAGACTCTCTTCTAATATGATCTTGGCAGAAGGAGCGTTTTTACATTTTTTGGTCCTCACATCAAATTAAAAATTCCCTATTCGAGTTTCGATGCTCATTCTCACTTTACCACGAAAACTTCGTAGATATCATTGCTCTACTAATTGTTTAGCTTTTCCGTCACCGACTTTGATGACATACGAAGTCTCATCATTTCGGATCACTACTACATCTGGATTTACTCCCGCCGCTGCTCGATGTGTGGCTCCTCAATTTCCTCCCGCTAAACCTGGTCTTCACTTTTACGCTCTTCTTACCTGGACTGTGCAGTTCACCTTCACCATGCTTATGTGGAACGGTTACCTACGTGTGATGCACCACTGGAGCAACTGAAGCCGACGCTCAAGATAATGTAGAACTCCACCTCCGAGTGCAATTTGTCCCGTCATAAAATTCGGTGCCCTCGAGTCCTGCACTGCACCCGCTGTCTGGCCAACAACCTCCGCTGCTTTCTGGTCCTGCACCTCACTGCAGCTCCGTGCCTCCATCTTCTCCTGTCTTCACCTACACTACATCACTCTACTACATTCTCAAAGCTGTCAGTTTTTTTACTGTTGTTTACTTAGCAATTCTCGTCTTTATCATTCCAAAGCCTTTTAATGTGGCAATTCATACAATGACCTTCTTAGAATTTTCTGAACGCATTCAGAAATATTTTGAAGCACGCATGCGTCTTCCCTCAGTGCTCGATCCCAGAAATATCTGTGGAACGCGGCCCGCGGCGTCCGCTTCCCTGCGAGTACCCCATCGTTGCTCTACGCAAGTAATTGTGGTTTGTTAAACTGTTGCGAGTGATTGCTCCTTGCTCCGTCCTTTTGAGCAAAATGATGATTATTTACATACATGTAACTTCTGTGGCTATTTTTAACGATTTTCCTTTCAGTTTTCACATTTGTCCATTAATTTACATCTAATTATTCAACTCCTTCTGTGGCGGGACGGTTACAATGCCGGGCTGCCACGCAGAGGTGCCAGACTTGATTCCCGGGCCGGGAGAATTATTTGTATGGCCTACACTTATTTCTCTCGTGAGTTTGGATGTAATATGTGGTTGTCTATGTGTGTGTCCATGGCATCCGCGACACAGAGTTTCCCTAGAGCGGGGCTATGTTGAGTGTGTGCATTATTATTATATATATTATTTTTATAGTGAAAATCATTTACATCTCAACACTTGTCACATATCTTATTTAGAATGTTAATAATTTATTTGATTGGTGGTTCATAATAAGGCCACAATATGTTGTTTTCGAGCACGGCACAGTCAAACAATCATGGCATATTTAAGACATTATCATATTTTTGTATAGAGAAATCTGCTTTGTAAATATACACAAATAATAGATACATTATTCGGTAATTGACAATGTGCAAAAATTTTAACATAAAAGGTATTACTTTCTTTTTTTATTTATATATCGAATGACATAACCTAGTTATCGACTGCTGAAGTGTACCATATTATGGTATCGTACTTGTGTTTTTATCCTATTTTTTTTATACCCTTGTATCAATGCTTAGTTACTTCTTCCATTTTTATCAACAAGGAACTGTTTTTTTTTTTACTATTTTGTTGTAATTTATATTATATTGTGATATAAGATGTTTATACGCTTTAAGATGTAGTAGTAACACACAGAGATATTCTCTCAGTTTGTAAAGTTATTTTTGATTATTGCTGATTGTAGCAAAATATTAGCGGCGCTGTGGAACTCGTCAGCATTTTCAACTGAACTCTTTTGTCTCTTCGCGTGTCGTTGTGCATATTAGTTTATTAAAGTGTTTTGTTGTAATAAATAAATGATCTTATTATTATTTGACAATAAAATGCTTGTTCGTAGGTCGAGCGGCAAAATAAACATAGACCCGTCAGCGTTGTTCGCGGGCGACGGTCCCTCGGAGGAATACGAAACGTTGCGCCGGCGCATCTACACCAACACCAAAGAGCTGTGGTACTACATCAAGAGCGAGCTCAGGAAGGTGCTGAATGACAACGACAAGACAAGTCGGATAGAGGCCGTGCTGAAGGACGTTGGGGAAAGGAAGAGGTAAGCCATTACCAGAGGTCACTAACTTCAACTAATGCACAGAGTGGATAATGTGAAAAAATGAACAAAATAGTTATTAAGGCTTTCAGTTTTGCTGCTTTCCGCGTCCCGGGAAAGATAATCGAGCCTCGGTGCCCTCTCGAAAATCCCGGGAAAAAGAGAGTTTGAAAAATAGGTTTCCGTACATACTTATAGACATTAAGGTAGTCAAGACGTGATAATCAAGTTGTTTATTAACTACAAATATAGAAGCAAAAAGGGGCACGTAAGAAACAAGGGGCGTTTAATGTAGTTTCAGACAGAGGACTTGATTTTGTTTCTATCGTTCTTCGATCTCCACAGAAGTTGGTTAAATTACGGACACATTGGGGGCTTATCGACTTCTCAAGGCACTGCAAATGTTATGGACAGGCATGTCGCTTACCACCCGGTGCACGATTTGTTCGGTATCAATAAAAAAACCCATTCCGCAGTATTGTCATGTCCGTGTATTCTGATAAACAATGACTGTTTAATGGAATTATAAGATTCAATTGTTTAGTATATTTTTTAATACTGTTAATTTTGTGATTTTCGCTGTCTTAAGTGTCGATATTCCTGGTTCCTAATACATCAGGCCAGGGAGTTTACTCTCGTTCTCTCGAAGCAATTTAAAAGGCAATGTCAAGTATGAAGCTTCATTCGCATCATACGTCTTTTAATTTACTGGAGTATAACTTTTTGATAGTAATTGTTTCGGACGAGAGTACAGGGCCTGAAAAATCGCCGAGACTCGAAATTTTCGAGTGGGACGTTCCCGGTAATGACAGTTGTGAAACTTTCATTTTAAATATACTGTTCAAAAATGTTCAGGGACGGATCAAACGAGATATGAGATATGAGAATTTACATAATACTAATCCCTAGAAACTTTTGATGTGTGTATATTATCGTAACATAACGAAATCTCGTAATTTTTTACTACACGTTAATTATTCATAAAAGTAAGCCAACTGTATTATTGATTTCCGTGTGTTTGTTGATTGATTGCGTGTCCGTTAAGTATTCTGAACCATTTCAGTGCTTGGTGTGGTCTTGACTTTTGACGTTGTGTGTAGACTATAAATTGACATTAATTGTAAACTACATAAAGGGTACCGGACAAACACCAATCTTTTTGATGCGGACTCTAGTAACGAAATGAGTAATTTTAAGTAAAATATCAGTTTTATTCAAAGCAGGGTAAAGCGTGAAACAGACAGAGAATGGGTGCGGGTCGGGCGCGCGTCGGGTCGGGAGCAAGGCGGGTGTAATTCCGTGTATTTCTATGGGTGATAACAGACCATGCGTGGGCGCGGGACGGGCGCAGGTCGGTTCATGGTCGTGTTTCACGTTTAACGGCTACAACCAACGTTTTCAATATATCGCTAGAGGGCGCGTGTGTTCACACCACAGCGAATAGCTGTACGCAGTTTATGGAAATATTTCAATATAGACAGTACTTAGGAAATGAAACAATTTTTTCGGTTTTAGATTGCGTATTTTGCTTTTTTCAAACAAACCAACGTTTCGGGCCCTTTACAAGTCCCAAGTCAGGTCGCTGCTGACTGAGATGGTAAAGCCATCAACCAGTTTTTTTTTGTTTTTTTTTTATTATTTTTTATAGTGCACATTTGAACTCCAACTCACCAGGTAGAAAGTGACGATGAGGTCGACTATAGAGCATGCACGCAATATTAATGCAAACCTGTTTTTCACTGTAGACTTAAATTCGAATAAAATAGTTTCGTTTATTTCTCTCGTGAGTTCGGGTGTAATATGTGGTTGTCTATGTGTGTGTCCATGGCACCCGCGACACAGGGTTTCCCTATGTTGAATGTATGCGCTATTATTGTTATTTGTTTTCTTTCTTTTTTCTATAAGTTTCTTATGTGTAACAATCGCGAAAACTTTAGAACTCGATAGACTGTACTTTAAAACCCATATCAATAAACAGCGTCCGGTGCTAAATGCTCAACGGTTATGGTGACACTCAGATCTCTAGATGCTTCTCTAACTTTTGTGCACCTTTCTAAGGCCCTTGTTTATACCAAAATGTACATGACGTGAAGTTATTCAGACCCAGATAAAATTATTCCTATAATCACATGAACGTTATAATGAAAATATCGCATTCAAATTTAGTTTTTAACAATAATGTAAAATATTTTTTGAATGTTCTTCCTTCCTTATTTTAAATTATCGAATGAGACTAAAATGTGGGCGTTTTGACGTAATTCGGTTTTTGATTAAAAAAAAAAACAAATTACACCAGGCACCAGCGACAGACAAGCACCACTGTTTGACATCTTGTACCAGCAGTAAAGCTCCTTGTGAAAGAGTTCATCCAGGAAAGTACTGCCACGTCACCTACTTCTGCCGCCAAGCAGTAATGTGAGTTGCGTTCCGGTTTTGAAGGGTAAGGGTGCTGGTGAAATTACAGGCACATTGTCAAGTTATGTCTCTGGGTGACAGGCGCAGTGGCAGTGTCTCACAGATGTCTGCGATTTAAAGCACTAAGGGGGATTGCAACTGTTATGTACAGGTGTGTAGCTTACCATCAAGCGCATGACTTGTTCGTCCCGTCACTTGATATTATAAAAAAAGTCTTTTAAATTCATTTCTAATAAGATTTAGGACAACATTTTCTATCACAGTAGGTAACACGTTTGTTATTGGAAAGTGTCAGTTACTGGGTGAGTGACGATTATTGGTTAGTTAATTAGTGGCTTTTGGTTTTCATTACTGGAGATTTATAGAAAATCTAGTTTAGGTTTTTTTTTAGTAATTTTAAGAATAAAAACTCCAATGTAGTAATTTAAACTTATTTATTCGTTATCACTTCGTAGAAACGTCTACAATTCCAAATTTATAATTTCTGTTCATTACTTATTTTTCCTAATTACATAATTTAATAATCTAATTTTATATTCGACTTCTTTCGGACGAGCAGCACACAAGACTGTTCGCCACTGCTTTTTTCTTGTTTCCTCCCTTCTACCCCTACTTCTTTTTCCTCCAATGGATACTCGCTTTTGATTGGTCAGTATAACAACCAATCAAACCGAGCATCAGTGGTGTCACAAGTACGTAAAAATAATACTTATGGCCCCAAAAATAATATGCAACTAGAAAATATTCTTTAAAATTAAGGGAATCATGACAGTAATAATCAGAATAGCTTTTTTATGAAACATTCTACAGCTCATTCTGTCTTGAGAATTACATCTGTCGAGTAAACTGATCTCTATTGATATAATGTTTTTAAAAAAGTTATTTCAAATTTAAATACACACACCTTGTTTTTTAAATGATAATTTTTCAATTCAATACAGTTCAAATATTTATTTCAGATAAAATACATAAAGAGTTAGTAAACCAAACAACTTAAGAACTAGTATTAGTATTAATATTAATATAATTTAAAAGACTACTTATACATTTAAGATAGTGTGGAGCTCTATCCAGCTACGCAGGAGTGGCGAGTCCCACCGATCTTTAAACACACACAGGATGCCGTTGGAGCTATCACGGGGGCGCCTTAGCGCAGATGCACACTTTTTCCTCATGATGGCCATGAAACCGTCCATCTGAGCCTCGGCAAACATCCCCGATGCACTACACCTCCACGGAAGCCCCATCAGCACCCTGAATGCGTTATTATATTGAACACGCAAATCGCTGAATGTCCGCCCCGAATACGCGACCCACACAGACTGCACGTGTACAGCACTTGACAGTAGGCTTTAAATAGTGTAATTATTATTTTTAATAGTGTAATAATTATTATTTAAATATTATAATAGAAGATAACGGCGAACTATGGGGCCCAAAAACCGATTCATAAAAAAACTTCATTTGATAAAAAAATAGCATTTTTACTAGGTTTATCGTCTACAGAAAAAACAATTTAAGTCTATTTTATCAGAGATTATTTCAATGAAATTTTCTCTCCCGTGTTTCTTAAAAAGTACATCCGTAGAGGTAGCACGACAGTGCGCAATTTGCGCAAGAGCGACAAAAAGTGCGAGATAAATATCTATGCGAGAAAAGCAGTATGTCGCGTTTAATGCCGCTCGCTAGCTTAGTTACAGTAAGAGAGTATATTTTATTTCTAAAAGGCCAATGTTTGAATATGAAATGAAAATGTCTTTATTATCTTTCACAAAAGAAACTTATATCGATATACCTGTGGTCCTCACGTGTTATTGAACATAGTTTCGTTTGTGAAAGTCTGGTCTCCATACTAGAAATAATTAACCTGAGTTATTGAGCACCAGGCTCTCACCCTTGCACCTCTCAGCAGACCTAAGAAAGATAGGCATAAGACGAGAAGATACGTGTACTTAAACAATTATAAAATAAAGCAAACATGAAAATGTTGAAGATTATTGAATGAAAAATATTGTGTAACGAATTTCTCCGCGTCTACCTCACACGCTTCAAAGCCTACGCGAAACCACGGTAACAAAAACAATCAAGAACCTAAAGGGCCTCAGTTGATTGGACCATAGACCAAGAAAAACCAAAGACAGTCGGTGTTTCAATGCGATCCTTATCCTCGTTTCTCAACACAGTTGTAAGATTTGCAAGATACTCAGGTTTCGTTACTATCAGCGAGGTTTGTTATCCTTTTCTTCACTATGAAAATTTCCATTGGCTCCACCGCGCTCGCCACCGGTGATATGGATACGGTGGCTGTTTACTGCGAATGCCAAATGGAGCGCGAACGCGAAACATTAATCGGAACATTGCTGTTATCAAAAAACATTAAAACTGGCAGCATTGTTATCGAGCGTAAATACGGAGTAATTAATTAAAATCGTGAGTAATTCAATTTTAGTTCTTGCGGTATGTGCATGGATGCACATACCCCAAGAACTATTCCAGAATATCTGAAAGAGTGACTGCTTACTTGAAAGCTCTTCTTACTAACGTTTGTTATGAAACTTCTATTTCACTGCAAGGCACAGTTTTTTTCA